TTTTCCACAGTTTTTGTTTTGGTAAGTTTGTCAAACTGCATATTTCCATATCTGAAAAAAGAGGGCAGAATCACTGTCCTAAGGCTAGATAAGATATATTAAACTGGAAAATAAATACAGATTATACAGGTTTATTTGAAAACCGACCTTTATTTGCATAATTATGGAAGAGGAAAACCTTATAAAAAAGGCAGTTGTATATTACATTTTCTGCAATATTAAAAGCTAACTGCACTTCAAAAGTACAATTCTGGGGACGTTAGCTTATAATCTGCAGGGCTTGGTTGTCAAAAAGGTTGATAACACTATCCACAAGATAAATCTCCATCAGTGGATGGTGCAATAAATTATTGGTTTTCCTTGTACAATCATGTTCTTATCCGCTGGATAGTCTTTTATCCAGTGGGTAACACTATCCTCCATTTGATGAACAATCAAGACCATGATTATTGTTGCCAATCAATAATCTGACGAGGCATGAGTCGTCAGCATCATCACCTGCATGATCATTATTTTAGTTAATAATTAATAATTATTTTCAGTGTACCTTCCAAGAAGCTGCTGTAACACTAGGTTAGGTACTTCAGGGTATCTGTTTTGATTTACTAGTACAGGAAGACTCGATGCCTGCAAAGCAAATTGCAGTTGATAATAGACTGATTGTAGTGAAACTACAGTTTTGGATCTTACAATAGTTTAATGTAAAATCTTTGTACAAACAATGCAATGTTCCATACATTTACCCCACGACAATGATTATTCATAATTATCTGCTATCTCCAATTTTGTCCAACCTGACCCAGAGGTTTCACTAGCAGCGCTAGGACCAGAGTAACAGCATCAGTGCAGTTTCTAGCTCTAACTCAAAGCACAATTCCCAATAGCCTCCCATACACACAGATGCTCTTAGGGCTTTATGATACATGGACATTAATTCCTTATCCACATTGGGGGTGGGGGAGGCATCACAAGCCAAAAGAGCGTCTGCATTGATGGCCAAAGACCAACTCATGCTTCCACATCTACATACTCTATGGAAAGACTCTTAAACAAATTGGAGATCTGCCTGACTCACCATGTCAGTACTGAAGAGCCACTAAGAAGAGCAGACATGAAACCTTTTAGTAAAGAGTTGAAGCAGCAGAGATTGAAGATGATTGGACAGTATACTAAGACAGGACCAAAACAGTGACTGCAACATTACAGTGACTTGGGCACCAGAAAGAAAAAGAAGACGAAGAAAACCAAAAACCACATGGAGGCACACAGTTGAAAACGAAAGGGTAGAAGCAGGATGGCAATCAAGGAAGGAAGCAAAGTCTGAAAGACCGTAGCAGCTAACTGAGATAAATGGAGGGCCTCTGTACAGGCCTCACAGTTGTATGTGCCACAAGGTACGAAGAAGATAGGTGAAGGTTGATCTGCCAGACATACCAGTTGTTTTGCAGCTTCATGGAGGTAATTTTTTGGAGAAGACAGGCCATTTATGAAGCTCCTCATCATATGAGCACTGAACACTATTGGGACTTGTCTTGCACTGATCTGGGGAAGTATTTTCCTGACAAGTTGGAATCCAAGGAACTTTCTGTTCTGTGTTGACTGAAACAGACCATCTGAAATTATAAACATAAAATACCGGTATGAAACAAAAAACACACACACACACAATCATTTCATCAGTAAACATAATGGAATAAGAAAAATATTAAATGAACACTGACTTTAATTTAAGCAAATTTAAAGAACTAGAAAACAAACAAAAAATGGCCTTTTTTGTACTTTTTTTTAGCTGTCGATCAACATGAATAAATAGAATAATTATTGGCAAACCTTCCACCACTTTGTTCCAGAACAATTCCACATCACTTGCGGGGTTATCAAACAGGGTGAGGAAGACTTCATCCCAAACACAGTGGATTCTTGGATGTGAAGAAATGGAGTCCTAAGGAAGAAAGGTCTCTCTGTAATGATAGCTCCTTGGATGAGCTTTTTTGCAGCAACTTTTGAGGTGGGGTGTGGGGTATACCAGAGAAGGGGGAGAAATTATTTACAACTGGAAAGACAACCCATCTTATTACATATTAAACAAAATTAAAAAACTCAGGGAAGGAAATACATTATAAAAAACACCATGTCAACACCCAATACAGTACTACAGGTGTGTATACCAAGCCTACATGTATAACAAGGAATGAATATTACCAAAGTGAGAAAGTAACAAATGGATATTTCCATATTAAAACAGTTATGATCTCTCGTAAAAAAAAATATGAATAAACAACAAAATAACATAAAACCATTATCTGCTGGAAATCTTTGTCAATAGTTAGACACAGCTGACTTCATCAAAACTAAGTTGTACATGTACATGTAGTATTAATCATGGTGTAAACAGAGCTTGACTTTTCTAGATGACTTATCCCCGGATTTCTGCTAATCGTCTTTTGAACAACTTGGCCCACATGGGAGCTATGAACAAAGCAATAATTAATTTATTGTTTACCTGCAAAACCACAGCCATCCGTTCATAATTTTTCTTGTCAGCAATGTAAGAACATTTCCAGGAACTTTTTATTAATTTCCTTTCAAGATGATCCTAGTGGGGAAAGACAATGAATACATGATTTTTCTATTTTGCAGGCAGACAATTCTTAATATGACTCAAGTCTTCAAAAGAAATTTCACACGTACAGTCTGTATTATACTAGCCGTACCATTTTGAATTCCAAAAACATCAGCTTTTACAAAATATGCTGACGGTACATATAGTTAAGTTCAAAGAGTAGCAGAGTATTTTTGATGAACTTCAAGGTGTTTCATCAGGCGATGAAACACTGTGTCAAATGTTCGATAATGATATTAGTTCTCATTCCTCAAACAAAATGCCACATTTAAGAAGGAGAAATTAAGGATGCAAAATGAGCAGTTTTTCATCTGATTTCCAATTAACCTCATTAAATATTAATTTTATTTGTATTTTCTTTATGAATTATTAATTAGCTTGAGAATATTTTTCTTAAAGGCATTCTCAAAGAAATGACCATGGTGTTTTTCAGTATACAACTTTGTATGAAATATTGTCTATAAACTTACAATCCTTATTATCATTGACACCATGCAGAAAAACAAAGGAAAAATATAAAATAGACCAAGAACAAAATTGAACCATCACATATACACACCCCCCAACATCTCTGAAGCGCAAGAGAGATAAGAAGAGTTTCGGGTGTGGCTTGTGCCCATCCACCCTCTATAATCTCCTTGACAGATGGATAGACACAGTTTACAAACACATCAGTGGACACCTGCAAACAAAGAAAAACAATCTTATTGACGTTTTTAAAGAAATATGAAAAAATTATTGTATGGTGCCAAGTGATTTCTGATAAATTGCAAGGTTCTTCCAGTAATATAGATGTAATAATAATAATAATAATAATAATAATAATAATAATAATAGAAACTGCGTGAGCCCGTAGTTATTGGAGTATTTAGCCTAGTTAAAAAGGGCCTGGGAAAATACATGGAAAAAAATCCCTGGAGTGGTCGCTTATGGGAGCCCTAGACAGTATGAACTGCGAAAGAAGAAAAACATTAATAATGATAATCAATAATCAATTACATGTCTCCTCTCTTCTCATGGGGCTTTTCAGGAATATAAAATGCCACAAAAATTTGATTAAAACGGAATATATGAACAAGGTTAAGAATCCAGCTAGTGAAATGAAACAGTTAGCTACAGTACATGTACCAGCGAGCACAGCCGAGGATTTGAACTTGGACTACAGAGAACACCCTGAGGATTTGAATTTGGGGCCCCTAAATTATAAGTCCAGCAACTGTAGACCTCTCAGACCCACTGCCTGATCCCTAAATCTCCTCAATCTGCCATGTTTGCTTGTGAATATTTTTGTGTAGCAACAAAAACCAGGCAAGGACTAGATGATGTAAAATCATTGAACTTACCACTTCAAAAATGTCCACAATGACCTTTGTACAAAGCTCCTGCAAATAAGTCTTTTTCTTGCTCAGCTCTCTGACTCTTTCAATCAACAAACTAAGCCATGCTGTATCACTGGACTATAAAAAGCACATTTTTTCTCTTAATATTGATAAAAGTGATTAATAATAATTAAATATGTCCTCAAATAAACAAAAATGTACAAATTACAAGGAATGTTGTATACAGGCTCATTTGTCAGAATGATATATAAAACGTCTTGCTCTCATGAACCAACCCATACATAATGATAATAACAATAATAATAATAATAATAATAATAATAATATACAATTATATGAAATTATTCATTCATGAATTTAGAATCTCAAAAATCAGTAAAGCTGGCTTCAATGAAAAAAGGGGCACAGATTTACGGTAAATACATCACAGAATGAAGATTTATCATTATTGTTACATAATCTATAACAGATGAAAAAGTCGAGATCCAATGTCAAGCCTTACAGTTATTTTGTCCTCCTTGAACTGTGATCTTAAAACAGACACCAAGCCAAACACTTGTCCAACGAAACTGTCTCGCTCTTCCTGCAACAATAAAAAATTATATGCATTACCAATAAATTATACATTGTAACCTCACAAGTAAATTAAATGTAGCTTGAGATGCTATTAATATCAAACACACAACAGGATGTTTTTTTTAGGGAAACAAAAAAGTGAAACAAATTATTTACTTTACTGTCAAACTCACAAAACTGTGAACACCTGAAAAATTTCAAGAATGTTGATTGTGTACTGGCCAATCACAATAAAGTTCAGGATACGCAAGCAAACCTCAAAACCACAAACTAATAAATTATTGCCATTGCTGTTTGTCGTTTAGTTATCTCACGCCTTATTGGCTTATTTCTTGCAGCACAATAACATTCCATAAATCTGTATTTCTGGTTTTCACGGTTTTGTGAGTTTCGAAAACAATACACTTTTACTTTACTCATTACATTACATGTAAGTTACATGTAACAAAACAGAAATTGTTGGGAATTGGAGTAACTAAAAGTTTTCAAAGTCAATTCCCAAGAACGAGATGCCAGTATAAAAAGCTATTACTACATGTAACCACAAAGTGCATGGTAGTGAATTTAATACACATACAGTGTACATGTACATTATAATAATTATACGGAGATGATGATAGCTACATGTAAATTGTACTGATCTCGATTAATTCAGAATGTACACAAATATAATTTTTTTTTTAACCAGATACAGTTCACAGAATTAAAAAGTAAAACTTTATTTTTCAATCTACATCTCCCTCTTTGTTATTTGATATGACGAATGTCTTACCCATGATTTTGCACTGCCAGTGACCTCTAGATTCTTGGCAATTAATTTGAGAACTTTTTCAGGACATAGGCAAGCAAATTCAGAGAGAATCTCTGTCAGCACAGTTGCAAATCCCTGTCTTGCTCCTTTCCTGGTAGATGCTAAACCTTTCACGAGGCGTTTCACACTGTATTTTAACTCATCAGAACAGGAAATGTCATCATCACTCTCATCATCTTCCTTGTTATCTTCAGTCTTTTGATAAAATTGCAAAAATTTGTGTTAGCTGAAGGGAATTTTTCTTCTTATTATTATAAGCCCCACAATAACTCCCAACATCGTTGGCCCAACATTGTTGGGAGTTGTTGTGTCCGTTTGCACGTAGTTAAACGTCTCACCGGTTTAAAATTTTGCGCAACAACTCAACAACACTTAACAACATGCAACAGGGTGTGCAAACGGACGCAAAATGTAACATCCAACAATGTTGCGTCCGTTTGCACGCGGCTTTACAAGGACGAGTTCAGCACGTACTCTGCTCGACAGGACTAAAATAAAGTACACCACACTCAAAATGTACTAATCAAACGAATCTAAGAGCACGTCTTCTTTGCATAAATGACTGCACGCGTGCAAACAACATACCTCGTCCTCTGTCTTGTGTCGTTTTTGAGCTTGATCTAAAGCACATAAAAGCTGCGAAGCTGCTTTCAATCGTTTTCTTTCGTCAGTAGATGCAAGGTCCCAGAAATGTGAGAGGATATTTTCTGAGGACATGCCGTCGTTTTATGAGTTCTAATAACTGCAACAACAAGATAAACACGAGAAAAGTTCACACACGTGCATTTCCAACCACCGCCATATTGAATTTGTCCGAAGGGGCCTGGGAAAAAAGAAAGCCAGCGATAAGAAAGGGTTATTATCAGCGGTTTTTAGAAAAGGTTAGCTTTCTGCGCATACCAGGATCAGCCATGCACGCTGACAATTTTAGAACACGTGCTCATTTCCGGCTGGTTTATGTAACAAGCAGAGAATATTACAGCTGTTTTATGTCAGTAAATAACGACAAAAATCTGCAGTCGATTTCATAATGCTTAGCTCGAGGATCATAACGAGACTTGGCAGCTCTCCTTGTCCGGTAAGTGTTATCTGTGATGCAAATATACAATGCCTATGAGAAGCTCCTTTATGACTTCCTCCTTATACTGATCTAAGGGTGGTTCACTTGTCTGACTTTCAAGGGGCCAAGAGTGTACTGTCACTATCGTATTTTGCAAATATATCAAACAATTGGTTTAATCCATTCACTTCCAGAATTAAGACCACTTAATTATCATGATGGAGTCTTATAAGGTCGTCGTTAAATTTATTATTTTTTAGCACTTTACCAAGTGAAATTTGGAATTTTGTTGCACTTTGACTTTGGCTACTTTTGGAAGTGACAGGGTTCAGAGCCCAATACTATTGGTCACTCATGAAGACAGGACATTCGGGTCTAGTGAACCATATATAAACTTGAGCCATCAAGTCAAATAGCATGTACATGTATGTGTCTTTCCCATGAAAGCGAAATTCTATGATTGGAGCATCGAAAACACTTGCTTTCTTTAGTTTGCTTCGTAAGCTTTCCTTGTGCTCTCCCACCCTCTTGCGTGGGTTCATTTTTACTGGTAAACCAAGTCAACTCACTCTTATTGGACACCTCCCCATAACAGATACCTACTTTAATGTAGTTGGTCCCTGTCATTTTTCAGTCATTTTCTTTGACTGTCCATACTATGGACACCTCTGTAAGACTGACCATTACAGGAAGTACCAAGGGTGACCATTGCAGAAAAAGCTGACTCAGTTGTTGCTGAATTAAATTGCAGGTTTTTCAGCCAACAAGGTTTGCTGCCAGAACAATGGCGTATGGCTATAGCAGGACAAAGAGAAAACAGTTACCTGTTAATACAGTAAGTAGCAAGTACGATCATATAGACTTGTTTAATATAAGTTAAAAATTCCTCTCAGGTTAAATCAGTATAAATCTGCGATAAGTCTTTTTTTTTTTGTTTTGAGAAGAGAGAGGGGAAAATGCCTGACACAGTGTATATTTTTCTACACATGCCAACACCCCTCTCCCCACTGTTTCTTTAAATAAATTTACGCCTGGTTAACCTGTCATTAAATCATGCTATAAATCAAAGTTATACCTTTTAAATGTATGTACCTGTTGCGTGGTACGTAACTGTATCATTTACTTGATAGAAAATTACCTGTTGGAAAAGAATTAATTTTTAAACTAATATCTTTTATTTTAGGTTATAAAATTTGTTCCTCAACAAGAGGCTTGGGTTATTGAAAGGTTTGGTAAATTTAACAGAATTTTAGAGCCAGTAAGTTGCATGTACAGATTCTCAATTTATTATAATAATATTATTGTTATGTTGTAGTTCTGTTTTTTGGATGTGTGTACACGCTGTACCTGTTGTACCCTTTAAACCCAAAGGCAGCAACATATTATGAATGTGTTATTCCTTCTTGTTATTAATTATGTTCAAATTATATCCTCAGACAAAAAATGCAATCAAAGTTTGCACAAAGCATGAGAGAGTCCCCTCCCTTGATCCAGTTCCAGAAACATTTTGAATTCCCTGCTTGTTATATACTGGCCAGAATTTCATTTTTCAGGGCCAGAATACCATACCTCACAAAATGTGATTGATAAAAATTGACCCCACAAAAAGAAAACTGTAAAATGTCAAACAATTTTCTTTTTCTCCTTATTCTCATATGATCCAGGTCACTGCAGCTCCAGTAGTGATTTAATGAAAAATCCATGAATATATTGGATGTACATACAAGTAGCAGTGCATGTAGAAGATAGAGAACTTTCACTTGGTATACATCAATGTAAATTATAGAGGAAGAATAAAAATGAATATTAGTATCATAAAGTATTATTATAATATATAAATGTATCCCAATTAATATTATTTTACTCTTTTCATTGCCAGGGGCTAGCCATTCTCTTACCTATTATTGATGACATCAAGTATGTACAAAGTTTAAAGGAGGTAGCCATTGAAATTCCTTCACAATCTGCCATCACACTTGGTAGGAATTTATATCAATTTTGTACTTTTAATCTCTTCTTTTTTTCACATACACAGTTTAATAGGTAAATTTAGTTCAGCAGCATTTCTAGGAGAGCCCTGCCCCCAGTTTTGGTGGCCAGCTGAGGCTTTGGGCAGGGGCGCACATGTACTTCCTTGCATTGTTACTGTCCAGCCAGATCAAGCATCTCCCCCAAGATCCCATTCCTGGATTTATTATTTGAAAGTAGAATCTGTTGGTAGTTGTAGATTCATCTCCACATTCTTGCATGCGTAATGAGCTGTGAATTCTCACACGAGGCAGTTGCAACATTTCTACCTGATCAGTTTCTCTGAATTTGATGTAAGTGTCTTCTTACTTTACTTCACTTAAATAGTTTGCCAGTACAAAGGATTATAAGTATTGACAGGAAAACCCAAAACAGGAAACTAGTGCCCTCACTGAAGGGTTTCCTAAGACTCACTATAGATAAAAATTAAAACAGCTAAAAAAAGTCTTAAATACCTAAACAAGTGGTAATTATGTAAAATAATTAAAATTATGTAAATTTATTGTAAGGTTATTAAAATTAGATTAAATTGAATTATTATTATTTTCTAAGAAATTTAATCAATTCAAAGATTTTCAATCTGACCAAATACAGACAAGTTCTCGTAAAATATTCACTTTTTATTACACATACAGGAATGTCGATTTGAATTTGACACTGGTTACAGGAACAACTAATGGTTCATTTTTCAAATAATCAGTTCATTAATAGAATCGTAGGGGATATGCTTGACCTGCCTTGACTGTAACAAATGGTTTTGTTGTTCAAAACAGGAGAAAGATACAGTGAATACTATTAGATGGATCTTGTTGAACAGCACTGTGCACCACTTGGCACAAAGGACAATGATGATGATGATGAATTTTATCCAGACCACCTACAAAGTATGTTATATAATACTTACATTTTTCTTTTTCTCTTTAGATAATGTTACTCTTCACCTTGATGGAGTATTGTACTTGAGAGTGACTGATCCATTCAAGGTTTGTTTTTTTTGTCTGAGGCAAACTTGTTACATATATAGGCCATCAACTCTAACATTGTTTCACACAGTAAGTATTAAAAGAGTGCGGTCTATGAGGAAAAACACATGAAAATCCAAAATATTAGTTAATATAACCATAATAATTGAATACAGAAATTTCCTTTAACATGTTTTGAATGGTTCTTATCATTTATTAAGGTTAAGTAGTCCAGGAAATACCTGTCCTTTTGGTGCCAAACTATACAGACTGAAGAGTTTAACATTAAGGTGTTGCATACATGCAACAATGTAACAAGGTACCAGACATTTTTTCATGAAAACCTCATCAATTTGAATTGCCACTTGAAAGTACGTGTGTTCTGGCAGCTTAATGCAGCAAGCAGTATCTTTACTCATATACTGTCTGTGGACTTTTTCAGCTGCAAAACCTAAACAGTTTGCCCCTTTCTTGATGCATTCTTTAATAATGCGGCAAGACGAAGCAAACAGACATTAAACCAACAGAAGTTAATGATCAACATTATTTAATGTGTTTTGTCCCCATGCATGGTTTGGTGACTTCTGCATTACCATTGTCATTATGTAGGCATCATATGGAGTTGAAGATCCAGAGTTTGCAGTCACTCAGTTGGCACAGACAACCATGAGGTCTGAGTTGGGTGAGTGAAGTATAACTCCACAACCATCACATAACCATCATGGTTTGAACCTGACCTATGTTCTTAGTGGTATACAATGTTTCTGCAAACAGTGTGAACACACCAGCCTCTTTTTGCTATCCACAACATTTAGTAGAGAGTTCTCCAATGGTAGAACAGTCAAAATCCATACAACAGAACCGCAATTGCCACACCAATTATTTTACTGTTTAATTTCGCTTGACTGAGACCAGAGGTTTACACAAAAGTCTGATTGTCAAATTAAGGGGGCCCGCAATGCAATACAGCTGTAGTTTCACGAAAACCTATGGCAGGTCAAGTTTCACATTAACTTATTAAATTATTCGGTTCTTTAACAAGTAGTAAGGATTACTGAGAGAAAGCTATCTCTGAAAAGCTTGAAAAGATTTTTTACGTACTCATGATCATCAATCCACAATGTCCTGTAGATCTGGTGGCTGTAATAATTCCATTGATCAATTAATTGTTATGGAGTTGACCTTTCATAAGCATCCTCCAATCAAAAACCAAGATGCCAAGATGTGGTGGTCGCTTACATGGAGTGGTCTCTTACTACAATGGTCTATGGAAAGTTAAATAATTTAACACACCTCTATATATTTCTTCTTGTGGCTTTGCTGGAGCTCAAGCCTTGTCCCCAGTTGTTTCTTATTGAAGCTCTTTCTAGCTAGTGACACCGTGCTTGTTGTGAAGATGACTTGGGACTGTAGAATGATATCGTTTGCTTTCCCTACAGGAAAGATCAGTTTGGACAATGTATTTCAAGAAAGAGAAAGATTAAACCACAACATTGTAGGTGAGAGCATAGTCTAAGTAGACCACGAGTCACCCAGCTAAAAACAGACCTTAAGAAAGTTCAATGGTCACAAAATAAAAGCATTTTTGATCTTCATTTTTTTTTTTCCTTAGAGTACGGCAATAACATAAGTAAACATTTAACACATTATTAGTTTTGAAATCATTAATGTTTTTGCGTTTAGTTTACTAAATGTCCAGCATTATATAAAAAGTTAATTTAATATGACTTTGTGCAATAGTATCAGAAAATGATACTTTTTGATAGTTACGGTGTAACTTAATTTTTAGAGTAGACCGTGGCATTTTCAAGGGATTTGCATCAAACTGTTAAAATTGTACAATTACTTTAATTTGGGTTAAATTTTCATTCTTTAGTACTGTTTGTGTACTTTTTAAGATTATATACTGGATGCTTATCAATCTTTTCCTTACAGAGGCCATAAACCATGCAGCAGAAGTCTGGGGGATAAGTTGTTTGAGATATGAAATTAGTAAGTTATAGTTTAAACTTAAATGTACACTGTTTTGATAACTGCATGTTGGGGACCTACATGATAGCCGGTCCCTACCCCAACATAGAGCATAATTATTTGAGACATTGCATGGAATTTTAGGCAAAGTCATCACTTACACTCCAATATTGCGTAGCCACATCAATGCCTAAAATTGCTGTTGGTATTTCATTGAATGCCTATCTTGCAAGTAGGCTCCTTGTGGGGTCTTGTAGAGGTTTTGTGTTCGCTTTTCACACGAGCAAGTTGTTTTTCAGCTCGTCTGATGTTGGCGCAAAATTCCACGTTGGAGAGCTTACTCAAATACAGCGAATCTCATGCAAATACTGAGTACAAGTCAACAACTGCCGTGTCATTTTCTTGCAGGGGATATTCAGCTGCCTCAGACAGTAGTAGAAGCCATGCAAATGCAGGTGAACTTGTGCAGCGGTCACTCTCTTTGTGTTTTTTCAGTGGTTGAACGTGATCCTTCATAACTACGTGTATCACTAATCTTTTTCTTGTTTTAGGTGGAAGCTGAAAGAAAAAAGAGAGCTGCTATATTACAGTCAGAAGGTGAGTTTTTGATTGCACGGTTTTACCATGTACTTCTTGGTTTTACATTTGGTGAAATGAAACTAAAACGATGCGAGATTTTGAAGCCATCACAAAGATACATGTAATAAATTACAGATCACAGCATTCTGAAACCTCTTCATAATTCATTCTTGCACAGGTGAAAGGGAAGCTGCCATCAACGTAGCGGAAGGAAAGAAACAGAGTCAAATTTTAGCCTCGGAAGCGAGAAAGATGGAGCAAATCAATCTTGCAACAGGTAAACAACAATGTTTTTATCGTTTAATCTTTGTGAGAAAATTACCACAACTTCTGCTGAAATAGTATGTATCTCTTAAGTTGCCATTGTTGAACGGATGTTCAACAACACAGTGATTAGACATCTTTTTATATTTTTAGGTGAAGCAAATGCCATTATTGCTAAAGCCAAAGCACGTGCTGAGGGAATTCAGAGAGTTTCTCTTTCGTTGCAAGAAAAGGTGTTTATCATCATTTATGTACATTGTATAAAGCTTTCTATGCGTTAATGTATTATTCATTTATGCATTTATACATTTATTTATTATTTTATCGTGGACTTCAATCAGCACTATCTCAGTTCATCAAGAGGATGGCTTGTATCCTTGCTCACCTACATTTATTTCACGTAGGAAGAATTATGGCGTTAACTGATGAAACCCTGTCGAGTTTTTTCGAGCCTGCTTGTTGAATTAGTAGTTATTCCGTAAGAAATTTGAATTCAAATTATTGATTAGGATAAGATAGTTTCCAAAAGCTGTTTTGGTAATTGTTAGCCAGTGATGGGTTGTTAAGTAGAAAGCATAGTGCTATGGTTAACTATTTTTCTTGTGATTTTAGTTGGGAGAGAGGGCAGCCAGTCTCAATGTTGCTGAACTATATGTGACTGCATTCTCCAACTTGGCCAAGACTAATAACACCGTGGTTCTCCCTGCAAATGTAGGAGACCCGGCTTCTATGGTAGCGCAGGTAAGCTGGAAGAGATAATTAAATCGGGAAGTAAAGGAGAAGGCTAACGTCATTTCCAAAAGAAAAAATCTTCCTCACTACTCATACAGCAAGACTTCGGTATTACATCATTAATCTGGGCAAGTTCCTTACTGTCTGAACAGAAAGGGCGGGTAATAAATTATACTGGCTTAATTCCCATTTCTCTCCCTTGTTTAAACTTGGAATTTGATCACTTATTGCACCGGACCATAGCCGAACCAGTGCTGACAAATAGAAAGCGCCCTTAGAGCCGTCATAGGTCTTGAAATCGTCTTCTTTTCACGTCCGTGAGGTCGTTTCCTATCTCTCAACCAGGCTTTACATGCAAGTATTTCTAAGGTAATTCCTCCCTTCAGAGCATTCATAAATATAAACTTACACTCTTCATTTCATTTCATGCCAATCCTGCAAGAACTAGGTATCAGAGACTCGAACAACAGCTTAAAACATGCAATGGAATTCTAAGAATATTCATTAGCTTGTTGGTCATTATGCCAGAACTGGCTCACATAGCAGCCCTGATCTTAACTATCTTATAATAACAAACTGTGTCTTTTTTGTACCATGTTGTGAATTATCTGCTGCAATATTAACGGTGTGTCGCTATCTCGGTGTGTTCTTTCATAACGTAACGAGACGAAACACACCCACATGCAGTGTAACTGAGAAAACGTCTTTCCCCTTTTACATCGTTGTTTTTAGCGATGATTGTTTTTTTCTAAGCTTAAACACAGTCAAGGCAGCACCAGACACACGCCCTTAGTGTGCGGTTCATAAAAATAGGCGTCCGCCATCCTGTGGTTTAAAGATGATGAGTTTCATTTTGCCAGAGGAGACTATGGCCAAATTTTACTTGCTAGAACTGCACGACCAGCGCTTATAAGAACGTGCGTAAACGATCTGCGTAAAATAATCAACAATCTTGTTCCCAGGGTTTCTTTTCTTCGTCAATCCCAGGGACCCTGGAAACGAGTTTGACTGAAGAAGAACGGAAAGGAATATATGTTGCCGATGTCAATATATGTTGTCCGTGTTTTGACCAGGAAAAACCATCTCGTTACAATCATAAGCGAGGACTCTGGAAAAAGCATAAGGGTGAAATCAAAAGTTTTTTCTCTGGTGTTGCGGCCTGTGTTCGATTTAGACTCGAAATTATTTTATCAATGTTTGCTTTAATTCCTGCGTATTGTTATGTCAGTTAAAGGTTATGGGAAACGTTTTTTGGGAAAACAGGCTTCTACGACTTATTATACTCGATGCACCCGTGGTTTGTTTTGGACTCAATTCTCTGTTTTACTTCCAGGCTATGGCAGTATATGGACAACTAACCGGAAAACCAATTAATGACCCTCCCACCCCACCCTCCGGGTTACCGGGTGGTACGCCAGAGCACACGGGACCGAGTGATGATGGAACAACGGGTGGTAGTGTAGAGAGCTCGATAAAACCAAAAACACCTGTCTCATCAACACAAGCATTTAGAGAAGTAGAAGGTTCAAAAGACTCGCAAATGAAATGGAGCCCACCTGGTGCCGCGGGTTTCAGAAAGCCGGGAAGCCCAACCACAGCACACTTTACTGCCGCTACGTCACCAACGAGATCACGTGACTTCTCTTGATTTAGGTACTTGTATATGAAGCTCAAGAAGTCATCAGTTTCTGCATCGTTCTAATCACCTCTTAGTATGGACAGCCCTTGGTATCAGCAAGCGCGCTTTAAGCCTAAACTGTACAAGTTTGTAAGTACAATTTCGAGGCAAAAGTGGGCAAATTGTTTGAAAAATTGACTGATCGTTTCATCTTCTGAAGCGACACGTGTCGTGAACTCGAGCGCGCATTTTCCACTGAGATTTGCGTGGTAACTTTACCAAGCTTGGTGATCTTCTGTTCCCAGTTGATCAAACGTTGCATTGAGTGTATAGAGATTTATGCAGTAGATAGCGTTATCCAACTTTTAAGCCACTGGAGCCTAGTGGATAGTTTCAGATCTGAGAATTCAGGACCTGAACAATCGATGGTAATCGATAACAATCGATGACAATCGATATCAATTAATCGATTGATATTGATAATCGATGGACAATCGATCAAGAAAATTTTTGTGAATATGATTATCATCGATTATCAATATCAATCGATAATCGATGGGAATCGATCAATTAAAATTGTGACACCTAAGAGGACCTGGCAAATTTGTAATTTATCTAGTCAATTCAAAGGCAGCTCCACCCAGATTCCTGCTCAGTCGACCTTACAACGGCGCGAATTCGTTTCGCGACTAGTGACAGGGAGCGACTTAATTAGTTCTAGCAGTTAACGAGTCCCTTGCGGCAATAAAATCGACTTGTGAATTTCAGCAATTGTGAACGTAACTATACGTAGGTAATTGCATGTCAATGTAAGTAAAAAGGACATTAACGTTTGAGAATTGATAATACAAGGCATCAGAGGTTGTTTCCTCAAGAACTCTTTTATGCAAATGTAGAAGTGCTTTACTTAGTCGTCTAAAACATACACAAAATTTCAACTGTTTCCGCATTTTGAGAGCAAGATTTTTCGTGACTTCCGTGGTGCTATATTTAATTATTTTTTGTCGCAACCAACCAATTTTAGTATGCTGCCACAGTTGTCGGGTAGTTTTTGTCAGATAACCCTTCACCCTATTCAGATTTAAACTGAGTTCGCGTTTAAGTTGTCGAAGTTCATCCTTTGATTTAACTCATTTGTCAATAAATTTAAAAACTGGATCATTTCAAGACAGTTTTTCCAAATTAAAATTCCACTGCCTATTAATCAAATTATTTTTACCATGACGTTTAAACCAAAGTTGTAAAACAAAAAATAGCCCCGTTCATGGCTATCAGCGACTTCTGTAAGTCTTGTCCAATTTGCAGACCGCTTCGATAGTACATGCACTAAGAAGGTCAAATCGCGGTATATCAAGGTGATCAGTACTGTGATTGCAAAGACATAACAAGCATGTTTTTGGCAGCAGCGATTAGATATGGCCATTATAAACAATAGGTAGTCGCGGTGTGGATCCTACTTTAGCCTATTGTTTCTCAACTTTAATTGCCTTTCAAATGCAAACATTGACTCTCTATAAAAAGCTAGTCGGTTTCATTTCATGGTCACGGTTTCGCGGTCGGTCGCTTTTGGCTCAATTTGTACAGCGCGTGGAATTTGTTGTCCGTAAAGCTTCTTGCAGTTGTCAAAAGTGTGAGTTGAAAGTGAAAGATAAATCATTGATTTCTTTTAATTTGGATCAAGTGCTATAAGACAGACAAGCCCATCGATTTCCTTGTTTTGTTCAGCCCCGTATAAATTTGTACAAAGTTGTACTCATTCTCCGCCGTTTCCAAATTGGATGGTCAACTTACGAAGGTGAGCGATTTTTTAAAATGTCTTCTTCAACATGCATAGTTTTGTTTAAGCTTAGGGCACTTGACAATTGTCATTGATCGTTCATAAGTCTGAAGAAGAACTTTTCACAAGTTGTCAAAGTCAAGATAAACACGCGCATTCAAACAGTTTAGTACTTTTGAACTCGTTCTTTCGTGCATGTCATAACTTAACAGTTTTGGGTCACGGGCGATTACATTTAATTTCACCTTTTGGGACAAGTTTTTAAGATCTTTAAATCAAAAGACGTTTACGTTGTTGAGAATGAGGGTAAAATTCTTCTGTGTGGCTCAATAATTTATTCACAGATTCTTTTAAGAATTGTCTATGACTCAGCTTGTTCAAACAACTAGACTATTAAGTAGGCAATTATTCGTTGCTAACATTTTCATATATCTATTGAAGTCTGAAATTCCTGTCGCGGATGCTTTTTCGGCATGTCTCTTTACAAATTTGTTAATTATAGACGTATTTTAATAGATAAATTTTTTGTCGTTGAAACGGACAATGTAACTTTTGATAAAACGCGTTCTGGCGTTATTTTTTGTGCCATTATCATTTCTTGCAAGTGATTTTACGGTCTCGTACTCGCAAGAGAGTGATCCGTGAGTAGTCCATCGAGATTTGTCGATCGACAGCTCGTTTAGTATATTGCTCTAGAAGCCAAGCTCAATTAGAATGTTCACAATAAGTTAAAACCCTCTGGGCGTTTTGTGTCACTGAACTCAGTAGAGCGACATAAATACCCAAAATCGCGAATTACATGGTAGAAAAATTTCTCTGGACGTTTTTATATTAAAACGTTGTTTCGTTACACCTTAAAAATTAAATTATGATTGAAGTCTAATTGAAGGCTAGCTTTCGGCTTTTAAAAGAGTTCAAACAAAGTTATCAAGGAAGCTATTGAATCAGTAATTATACGGCCATTGATATTGGATGTGTTATTAAGAGAGGACCCGACTAACAAAAAGCATTCGGTAAACTCAAGTTGCCCATCGGCACGCAGTATTTACTTATATGAAACGTTACGTCAAAAATAGTAAGTCCCTTGAGTTGATCTTGTTGCTATTTTGCTCTCCATCCACAAAAAGATAAATTTCAAACAGATTTATTGTTGTACTAAAAGTCGGGACGAAAAAAACTCTTGTTTGTCGAAGTAAAACAATTATTTAACAGTTATTTAGCCCCTTGACACACGGCGCAATACTGCACGCAAGTTTGCGCGCAATGGCATGAATTGCATTATGTGTATAAATCTGAAACTGCTGCTTGCAACGTTGGAAGTAAGTCAGTAAGGAGGTATTACACTATGGACATTTTTTCTGGAACTTGTAGTTTTGTTGCAAGGCATGAACAAATTACAAGAAGAATTAATATTGACTCGTATTATTGAAATTTGGTACATATTATGTCGCAAAGCTGTCGTGAAAATTATTTTTTTATTAATGACAGGGCCTTTAGATTTCTACAACATTGCGTGAAATAAAGTTCAAGACATGCAATACGATGCAACATTGCCAACACTACTTCGCGTAACATGTTTGACGACATCCCAAAGTCTTCGTTGTGCCGCAAAGTGTTTTGAGTGTTAGACTGCCACCCTTAGTCCATAGTGCAAACAACGCGTTTCTTGTCTCCTCTGTATTTCACATATTTCCCCCTCCTCACGACTTAAGCTGAAAAAAACAAATGATGATCATGTTTCTCTAATAAACTCAGTGCTTAGTCGTTTATAAGTGTAAGCTAAGATTTTGTCAGAAGGCAAGTGTGATAGGAATAGGGCACATGCCCCCCCCCCTACTAAATAGTGCTCCCAAACCAGCACCAGCACAGTGGTGAAAGGTAGACCTCCCTCACGGTCTTTGACCTCCGCATTGCGCACAAACTCAAGTTGTCGACGGTTAATAGGTCTGTCTTATCCTTTTTGGCGATGGGGTAACGGAACCAGAAACAGTGTCCGATTTGAAGAGGTAGCTGCTCTAGGGAGTTTTTACTAATGAAAGGCCGTGTTTTAAAACGAAGGCTTACTTAGTGTGGTGGTTTTAGACAATCAGTTGACCTCGAGACTTGCTAATGAGTGAGTTAATTGCTGAAGTAAACAAAGAGCAATTTTTTTGCCCCTGACGTATAGAAATGTGCTCTGTTCACTTTTTTGCGAAGAAAAACTATTAGATGCTAGTTTTGTCCGACGTTTTGTCGAACCCGGCTTTACTAAATACTGGCGTTTTTAATAACGGTCTGCAGTGTTTGTACGCCACCGCTAGAACAATGACTGAATGATTAATGTAGACACAGCAGGGAGCAGTTTTTTTCTGCGGCGAATATAACATACGAAGGTAAATGGACAAAAAACTCGACAGAAATGGAGCTTCCAGCTTAGAGGGGCTATCTTATTTTAGGTCAGTTCCGAGCTGAAGTCATCACTGAGTCTGAGTGCGTATACTCAGAATGGTCCTGTTGAGTCATGAAGAAGATATCAAAACTGATAGCAAATAGCATGACTCAGCCCCTTTGAGCCACTGTGTGGCGTGACACACTCCTTTGAGCCGATGTGTAACGTGACACAGCACCTCTGAGCAGCTGTGTGGCTTTATTTTACTTGAATAATTTTGTTCAGAGACTTAGGTTTAATTTCTCTTTACTGTTTGCTCCTAGAGAAATGACTTTGTTTTTTCTGAAATCCTACTTAATTTTCTTTACAGGTGTTACAATAAAGTCATCAGAATCTGCATCTAATGGATTAACAAGAATGAATCATCTCTCAGCCAATCGCTCGCAACCGGAGAAAATCGCTGAAGCCTTTTTCCTTGGAGTCCTTTTAATGGTCGCTTTTCTTTTGAACATTGCAATATGCCAAGCCATGATATTTCCGTACCGTCTAAAGACGCCTTCAAACTTATTTCCCTTTTCCTTAGCTATAGCAAGTTTATTTCTAATGATATTGCACACCCCTTACGCCATGGCGTCGGTAATTATGGACCGATGGCCATTCAACAACGCGTGGTGTCAGACTTCTGGCATGTTGATAAATCTGCTTTCAATGGCGTCGAACTTTTCAATAGTAACAATTGCAATTCATCGCTATTACCTCATTGTTGAGCCCCTTTATGCCACGATAAGCCTGCGCCTAGCCAGGAAAATTGTTGCTTTTGTGTGGTTCACTTCTTTCATTACCGCAATTCCGCCATTATTTGGCTGGAATTCTTACAGATACGCTCCTGGGAAAGCATTTTGCACCGTTGATTGGCAAGATGGTGGACCTAGCCTGGTTTATTCATTTTATCTGATGACTGTAAGCTTCTTGGTGCCATTTGGGATTCTTATGTACATTTACCGCGCTATTTATCTCAAGACAAAACGCCAACGGATGATTACAGACTATAATACCCTCCAAGGACTTCACAGCGAGCATATGACGGCAAAGCCGACCGAACGTTCTCGAACCATCTATCAAAAGCTTGTTTCTTGGGTCAGACAAAGGAGGAGAAATTCACAGTATAGCGTGTCTTCGCCTTCAACTTCCGAGAGAGGTAATATATCTTCTCCAGCAACGTCTGTCTCTTTATCCTTCGAGGCATCTAACACTACAGAAAAGGAGAAAGAACTCAAGAGAAAGAAAGAAGCTCTCAAACGCACTCTCACGCGGCAAAGTTCTGTTTACGAGCAGAAAACAGTTCAAAGCGCGTTTCTTTTACTAACAACATTTCTCGTCATTTTGTCTCCTTATTACATCGTTGGTATATGGTCAGGTCTTTCTCAATCAAGCCCTTCAACGGTAGTAGACTTCATAGTTACATATATATTCGTTTCCATGGCGGCTGTCAATCCAATCCTATACGGCTTCTTTAATCGCCATATAAGGAGAGCAGTATTGAAATCCGTAATAGGCCAATTAGCTTGTCAAGTTTGCAGATGCTGTAACGGAGATTCGGAGATACGAGGATCTTATCCAGTCAATGAAAGGGAACGTAGATACAATGGTCTGGAATCAGACCGCTGACTTTTCGTAATTTTGCGGTCTTCCCCCCCAAAAGCGGCAAACTTTCACCAACCAACAATCACCGCATTTTTTTTTTTTCGATGAAACGGCGGCTCTAAGGCTATTTCTACACTTTGCCTGATAGCTTGTCTTGCTGACATGAAAAGCGCAGAACTGGAACAAGTTGATCACACACATGGATCATTTGGTGCAGTGAATGCCAATCCTCATTTCTGAGGTGTTCCAGTCCTCGCTCCTTATCATTTTCTTCCGCTACGGTCCGAATACCTGTTGGCGCGGCGACAAAGAGTGGTAGAAACCTTTTTGATATGTGACGATCCAACTTTCAAGATCGGCGCGGCGCTGCGCAGCTTTTTAATTTTCTTCACTCCGTTGTGGCTGATTTCCAGTGTCGCGTAATTTTTACGTGCGTACGTGCATAAAATTTACGTTCCCAAATAAAATAGAGGCAATGTATGAAAGGTCGCTCGTAAGCTTAAAAGTTGAACTTTGCTCAACTTCTTGTTTAAGCTCAGCACTTTTTATCTTTCATCTATTTTGTTTACGTGATTAAAATTTACCAGCGTTAACGTGCGTAGTCAAAAACGCGTCAGTGGAAATCAACCTTTACAGAAATCGCGTCGAAATCCACATTCTTGTGTGAGGTGAACGGAAACCTTATCAGATTTATTTATCTGATATGTTTATCATGTCTGCGCATGCGCTATCCGGTAGTGTGGACATAACCTAAAAAATACGAAGCCTAAAAACTTATTAATGTTAAAGCAGTCTTTGACTATGTTAACGTAGGATTCACAGTTGTCAGGAAAAGCGATTAAAGACCCTTTCTTATTAATTACATCAGTTCAGGGCCAGTATTAACTCCGTTTCGGACAAATAATTATAAGTAATAAACGCCGGGGGCGGTTATTGGATAAAAAACGGTACATGCAAAAACAATAAAGAAAAATTGAATACCATAACACCAGTGCATAACATGGGCCCTTTTAGAAAAAACTGACAAGTAGAGAACTCGAGAAAATATCTGATGGTTTTGATGCAGACAACGTATTGTTAATAAAAATTTCTAAGAAATCAAGTGGCGTTTTCTGGTTTCATTTAAACAACATTATAAAAAGATCCAGTTGGTATGAACGCTGGTTTCGAGCAAACATGCAACAACAGCCCTACATAAAGTACTTGCAGAGGGCATTTGTAAGTCATATCCTGGACGCCATTTGCAGTTAAATCCCTTTCTTTCCTTCAAAAGAATTGACTAAGAGTATGGCGTTATATATTTCTTTAATATTGATATTCCTACTTCGTGAAAATACTATGTGGGGTAAATATGGATTGAAAGCTGATAAAATTTTCTAATTCTAGAGTTTGTCCTTTATTACAATTATTTTTGTCATAGGGCTTCCTATGGACGATCCACTGGTCCAGTTCCTCCACTCCATCTGTCCCTACACCTCCCGCAGTCAAGTGCCATGTATTCATAAGCGTTAACTATCGGGCCCGTCTTGATGAATGGAATGATCCAAGTGGGGCTTGCGCAAGTTGCACGCTTTGGCTCCTCATTCTACTACCTCTTCTCCCCGGGGACAGCGATCTTGTTGAACTTGACGGAGGCGCTAGTTGATTTTGTTTAGGCCTCGGTGCAAGGGATGCCCTTTTCCCTCGGGCTCCCTCAGAGTACAGCTTGCTTGGGGAATCCCTTGTAGGCGAGCGTATCTTTTCTGGTTTTGGTGGCGGTGGGTTGAGCCGTTCTGAAAATAAATCACGATCAATTATTCAATCAGTCAACTAATCAATCGATTATTGTAGCCTTCTTAGCTGACAGGATCCCCGCTTTTTGCTGCTTCGCCGCCAAAACACTCATTTTCGCGGACAAACAATTCGCCAAAAGTCTCACGCGCGCGGACAAGCAATTCCGCCAGCTGCGCAGTCTAATAGATGGCGATGTTAACCATTCGAACAACCAATCAGTCAGCTTATCAGTCCAATAAAAATACTCAGTGGTCAGTGTCTAATTAACTTTTCACAGTTAAAAAAATCAAGATAGTGCTAACTTTTCCTTAGAACATTTACCTCTCATATCTCAAAAAAAGAAACGAAATGTAATTCTAATATGTTTTTTTTTTCTGAAAACAGAACTTCTTTTGACGCATTAAACTGAACACGTTATTCACAAATCACATTGATACACCCTGGAAAACATACCGTTGAATTCATGTCATTCCGCCGCGGCAGTCTGTCAATTGCTCTTGAGTTGGAAGTAGTCGGTATACCGTTAGTTTTCGATCTCAGTTTTTATCTTTATACTTTTTTAAAACACTTCATTTCACCTACCCAAGAACGCCTTATTAGTTTCCATGCCTTCCAAGAGTGGTACGAAGGTCATAGTCTCGCCATCAGTTTCTGTGATGAAAACAGTCAAGAACTCAACGAAAAGACTCGCAAACTTTGGAAGGGGTGCGGCAAAGCTAAGCCATGGAATTCCGGAAAATTCAACTGAGAAAGTTCATGGCAAACCTTACATTTTGTATGAGTCCTGAATGAAACAACTTATGTTTTTCAATTTCAGTACCCGAGACTCTTGATTATATGATCTCCAACGCTCTAAATTCAACAAGTTAAAGAAAAGCCTTCGTCTTAGAAAGTGTGTTGGATGAATAGTCAAAAGTTTGTTCCATGGATGACTATTTTTCACCCCATTGATTTCCTCAAAAGGCTGCTCGGCTCTTCAGTAGTTTCCTTAACTGAATAATATAACTGAGGTAAAACAAGAGTCGATCAATTGTTTAAAAACAGATTCTTACTTTCTTTTTTTACAAGAATAAGAATCTCTCTTTCATTCAAGTATTTGGTTCCGTAATCCAACGGATTGCTTTGAAGATGTTTCAGTGAGCCGCTTTCATCAGAAAGATCGATGATATCTGTAAGGGATGAAAAAAGGAAAAAGATAGTTACTACAATATATTAATTAGACTACAACACAGTCCGTATTTTTGCGTGTTCAAGTACGCGCGAGCAGTCAAACAAAAGGTCTGGAACGAGGCTGAGAACAGAGAGCGCGTAAGACCCTTACGCCAAGCTTTACCGATTTCTTTACTGATTTTGAGAAAAAAACCCGACTGTTTTTGCAGTCTCCATATTGATAAGAAATTGAACTCTAGGTCGTGCGCAAAAACAAAATACACGTGCCAGGGTCGATGTGTTCCTCGAAAAAAGTTTTACCCACGAAAGCGAGGCATTACTACGCAAGTGGATTTTAGAACTGTTCAATCAACACATAAGGGCCGGACATTACCCTGAGTAAAAGAGGGTCATGATTGGTCAAGAGCATGCAAGTCATAAATCCAACAGCAAAATTTTATTTCTATCATGTATTTGTTTCTTCAAAAGATAAATAAATCAATAAAAAATAAATGTAAAAACTATAGTTACCATCGTCTTCGCAGTCACATCGCTCCTTGATGTTGCTAAGAAGCAGACAATTTCTGCAGTTTGGATTAAAAAGTTCCGTTTTATCATCTAAAAAAGAACAGCGGATTGGATCACAAAACCAGCATGTGGAGACTATTGTATATCAAGAGATAGACATGTAATAAATTTGCGTTTATGCTTATATGGGTATCAAGCAGAGACTTAGACTTACTAGCCTAGATAAAAGAATAAAATAACGAAAAGGCTCTTCATATTACCTACTTTCACTGGGTACCCAAAGGAAAGAAAAAACGAAACTAAATATAAAAAATGCTCAATCAAATTGTTTCCATTTCGTTTTATGGTTTGTTAGATTTGACGTCGGGAGTGCATTGTCGCCAACAGATTCAAACACATTAGATGAATGTAAATAAGACAACTTCCGTTTCAATACAATATCTGTTTGCTCTCATTCCAGCCTAATTTCCATATCTTAGTCGTCGCCAAGATAAATGATTTTTATTACAGGAAAACTGATTACCCTAAAGCCATAAGGCCTCAAGAATCGTGTCTGACATTCCGGTCGTATCCGTGACCGGCACGGCAATGCTCTCTACGCAGGTATCCCTAAAAGCCTCTTTAAAAATACACAACAAAAGCGTTATTGTTTAATTATACCCTTTAAGATTTTCCCTTCTCCTCGTTCTTTGTTTTTGAGTATCTAAGAGAGTATTACTTCTTTAGAGAACAGTTACCAGAAAATCCCCCTTTAGCTATAAGCTGGATCATACCTACAAAAGATCGTGTGTTGCCACAACCATCAGAGTAGCGCTTTATTTTTCAAGGCGCTTGGTTAACTTCTCCGTTGTATATATACATTTCTATCCTTAAATACTCGTATAATTTGTGCAAGAACTTAGTCCCCTTACCTGCAAATCGCACTGTTATAAACATCCCGTCTGGAACGCGAAAGGTCTTCTATCACAAAATATTACATCGGAAGGGAAAATTTGGGGTATTCGCCTAGTATTTTTTTAGAAAAGATTATAATATACACAGCTAAAACATAAAGACGCGATTCGACCAGTATTTGCCTTGGAAACGCAATTTGTTCAATGAATCACCTGCGCTGATATTTGATCGAGCAATTTTTTTGACCGAGAGTAGACTGGGTCTAGACAAACAAAGATGGCTGCCGGGTCGAACCCAAAGAAACAAGTCGCATTTCCCAGTGTCTTGGTCTGCTGAGAATTAGCTGAAAAGCGTTGGTCATTGCCAGAGTAAACATTTCAAAAGCTTACAGCAGTTTAAGAAATCTTTGGTGGTTTTGTTTGCCATGTGGCAAACCGTAAGCGAGGGAGATCTCGGTGGATTTCGGAGCAATTGCATAGACCGACATGTTTCTGTGTTCTTTGTAGATCTCACCTCAAATGGTCTTGAATGGATGTCACGGAGAGCAAGTTGGAAAGTTCGATTGAAGCTTCTAGTGACATTACATCGGAAAAAGATGCAGTTGCCAACTTGAACAATCAAATAGATGAGCTTAAACGCGAGCTTGATGCCGTGAAGAAGAAACTTCAGAAGGCGGAATTCGAGCGGGACAGTGCTCGGAAAGGTGTGGAAAACTTGAAAAGTGAAGTGAAGGAGTTGAGTAAGAAGCTGCACGAGGAAAGGAAAAGAAATGCTGAGGGCACAAGGAAGAACGGTCATGCCGTTCGGTCAAATGATAATATAAATGGTAAGTTCATATCAGCTGATAAATGGGGATGCAGACATTCCATTTTTTATCCGCACCCCCACACCCCCTGCTAAGGATGCCGCCGGCTTATGAACAGGAGGTTCAAAAAGCAGCTAAAAGTCATTTACTACAAATCCAGTACCCTGATCCTGTATTTTCAAATGCATAGATGGAGAATGTTCCAGTAGGCCGATTCAGAACAGAGAAGCTCAAGAAACTGAGGCAACTGAAACCAAGGTAAGTCATGTGTCAAATTCTTGCTTTATTCTACACAAATAAATATCAATTTGTGGGAGGAGAGTCCTGCTACTAAGTAAGTTATTGTGTTGTGTTTTAATGTTGTTTCTAGGATCTCAGAACCGCATTGCAAGAGGCAGCTACTGCTGCTATGAGCCAGAGTGGTTTTGTATATGATGATCGCACAGGACTCTATTATGACTGGAATACTGGTTATTACTATGATCCTGTAAGTACTTATGTAAGCATCATCTAGTCTGCCATCTATGAAATAAGCACCAAAGGGGCAGATGAGGCAGGGTTGATCCAGGAATTGGCCAACTGCCCAGTGGGGCCCTTCTGAAATAATATAAAGGACCATTTTACTAGGGAAGGGGAACTGATTCTGTATTTTAATCTTTTTTAATGTGTATTCTTTTCCATTTTCTCAGTGTTGCAACTGTCTAATAATAACTTTTATTATAAGGATTATCTCATGATATCTCTTTAAGTTTTGATAGTTGGCTGTCTTGAGACTAAAAGGGCTCATGTCCTTGTTTATGGTGGCACCATGTGTCTGGGTGTGGTCATGTTTTGACTTGAGCTCATTCTGTTTTTAGACTAGTCGCCTTTACTATGAGAACACTACAGGTATCTACTACTATTATGATGAACAGAGTGGCACTTACAAACTTCACTCCAGAGTTGATATATCCAGCAGCAAACAAAAAACAGCTCGCAAAGACAGTACAGACGAAAAGGAAAGTGGTGAAGAAAGCAGTGAAGATGAAGCTGAAAGTGACAAGGAAGTAGAGGGTATAGGACTGTTTTACCATGCTGAAATCAATGATTTATCTCTCAGCCTACAGGCAGAGTGGAAAAACCTTTCTCCCAGCAACCCTGTCAGCAATCAGTGCCCAGCTTTGAGACACTTGAGAACTAAACATTTTTCTGTCAATCAAGGCTTTTCCAATGTACCAAAACATTAATATTCATTGTACACTGTAGTCCTCCAGTCCTCAGAATAGTGATAAAGGAGCCCTCACCCCTTGGCATTATTAATTTGCAATGTAGTTAAGCTTTGATCCGGTCTTTTCCTTTAGAAAACTACTTTTTTAAGATGCACTCCTTATTTGATCTCCTGTGGTCTTGCCTAAATGTGTGTAGTAAATAATATTTCCAGGCTTTTTTTTTCTGTTCCCCATCTAATAAAGTCACATATATCTTAAACATTTATTTTTTTATGTTTTACATTTTAGTCACTGAAGTGCAGTTTCCTTGTATCAGGGCAATAGTAATCAAGTCATCAAAGTTGAAAGTAGGAAGCCTTTTTATCGTTACATACATTGGTGGTACTATTGGAAGGTATATGGTCTAGTAACATCAATTATTTACATATTTGTACTTTTCAGTGTATTGATATCCGTGAACTATTTAGTAACTGATTTCCTTTCTCCTTGGTTATAAGTTTGAATGCAGGGCTAGCCTGTAGGGAATCAGCCAGAAGGTTGTACTTCACAATTTTAATTAGGACTTATTTTGTTTGCAGGGAGAAAAATGTGTCACATGTCATGAGAATACCTGATGTTGAAGTTAGCAAGGTATTTGATATGCAGTTAAAATTATTAAATCCTGCACCTGTTGAATGATCTGCTGGTTTTTCTCAGTTTCTCTTTTCTCCTTCTCAGACGCAGTGTAATATTGAGTTTGATAAAGAGAGACGTCAGTTTTTTATCAGTGATGTTGGAAGTAGAAATGGGACATTTCTGAATGGTTGTCGGCTCTCTGAGGTAAACTATACATATTTTTATTTGCAAGGGCATGGTATCACAGAAAACTGCATTCTTGAGTCTATCTATAACTTAGAAAAGACAACAGGAAGTGAAATGAAGGGGATTTACTTCCGTGGGATTTCATCACAGTGACAATGTGGCTGTGATGTCTCTTAAGCTATGTACTGTTGTCAGAATCCTTTGTGGCCTGCTACCACTATCTCCCCCTGGGGAGAAGGGCAGTTTTTCTGTTATCTGAAAAGAATTAGAAGTTTTTTCCTTGCTTCTGGCTTTTTATTGTATAAGGGTGTTTAAGGCTTCATACGGGGTTCTCACACGACTAGGACTCGAGAGTCCTTGAAAATTGCAGTCAGTGCTGAAAAGTCCTTGCATTTCAGTGCTAACAAAATATACCAAAAGTAGCAGACACAGAGAGACCTTCAGGATAAACTTGTTCATGTTATGGAAGAACGTCATCTGACAGCAAGGTCTTTCCCCTTTTAATATGCCCTGTCGCTACCAAACGTTTTTTGGAAAGTGTCTCGATCTACCCCAGGCTTATAGAGGTGATTTGCTTGAAAATTTGGGTAAAGAGTACAGAAGGTGCACTTTCAGTTGACTTGTGTCTCTCAAAAGCGCTCTTTGCTTAAGCTTCCTTATAATTTAGTTGTAATGTCTTATTTTTTACAGAGCAAACAAGAAAGTAAACCCCAGGTAATAACTCATGGAGATGAACTTACCCTTGGAAGCACAACACTTCGCCTCCACATTCACCCAGGGTCACAAACTTGTGATTCCTGTGAGCCCGGCCAAGTACAGGCCCAGGCCCAGCAAGGAACCTTATTTGTTCAAGATGATGAAGGTAAGAAAGTTAGATACCTCCCCCCTCATAAACAAGCTATCTCGACCTACGGGGATAGAAGCTGGGGGTAATATCATTTTCTTTTGGCTGCCTAGGCACCTTTAAAGACTGCAAAGACGATGTTTTTCCCATGTAATATATTTTAGGTTAAACCTAAAGATGCGAGACTTTGTTTAGGACTGTAAAAAGTTGATCGTCCTTTTCGTACGTTTTCGACCTTCTGGGGCAAAACCTTTTTTCTGACAAGTGGACTGCGTGGATGGTTCTAAACACCCTAGAAGACGTTTTTTGTATGCTTCCTTATTCTAGAGTCACACAGAAATGTTCATGCCTTTTTCTGCTGGGTGCTCTTGAAAGACTGCAAAAGAGGATCGTCCTTTTTGTATGTCTTCTTCTTGTGATAAAAGTCAAACACGTCGTCTTTTTTAATAGCGACCATTTCTCCGTAGTCGATGTTGCCATCATTGTCTGTATCAAGTATCCGCACCAATTTCTTCAATTGCTTTCGTGTCATGGGGATGCCTGTTTTCTTGACACCATTCATGAATTCCGCCCGGGTGATCTTTTTACTATTGTCCTTGTCCAGCTGGCGAAAGAAGTCTACAACACGCAAGCCTCTGAGCTCTATGTACTCCAGCAGTAAGTTGAGAACATCCTGCAAGAGAACAAAAGAAAAAAATCTGTTTTGTTACAGTTTGGTACTCTATCTGTTGCAGAAATTTCCAAAGGTTGTGTGATAGTAACTGAATTTCCATTCATTTCGCCCTTTTCTTCCTCTAGTCTGTGTTCATAAGTCTCCCAACATTTTTTCGAAGTTTCAAATCTAGAGTATAATATAAGACAACAAAGGCCATCGTTCACCTCTGTGTGTAGTCAACAAGACTACGTTTATTAGGCACAATTGAAACTTTTTTTCGCTCGAGACAGTCATTTAGTTAAGTACCAAGTTTAATTTTAGTACTCGCAGCCGAATTTTCGAGTCTTATATTTGAACCATTTCGTTTTTTAAGTACTGTTGAGATTGAGTAACGATAGTCATGTTTCACATTTTTCCGGGAACTTTTCTTTTAGACGTGGTACTTCACATGAACTTATTTCATTGAATTCGATTCGGCTCTTCTGAAATACCGCGTCTGAACCGCGGGCCCAAACCTATACCTAGGAGATCTGGGCAAGGCCCACTTTTGAGTCAGGTCTGTATGCAAAGCTATTCTGTAAGTAGTTTCTGCAACTGAAGAATAATATTTTACAGCTCAAGGAAAATTTTACTTACCACTTTCTTTTTCATTCTTTTGACTCTGTCTTTTCCCTGCGTGGCCGTTCCACACTGCACGCTTAGGTTCGTTCGTTCATCAAGCACGTCTTCTAGTAACTCTTCAAACTCCGCATTCACGGGAATTCCGTCAAAGTATAACTCCTCGATGGCGCTTTCCTTGTTCTTGGCAACAGCGCTTAAAATCTCGTATGCTCCTTCGCTCTGGAATGGGTTCTGGCCAACGCGAAAGACCTGAAGAGTCGAATTTTGCTCGAGTCCTTTTGCGAGCCATTTCGCTCCGACGACCGAAATCCGATTACTTGAGATGTCTAACTCTGTTAGAGTGTTGTTCGCTGCGAGCGCCTCCCCTACTGCTTTGGCACCATCGTCAGCGAAACCATTCCAGGACAAGTCCAGGAATTTTAACGCGCAGTTGTTTTTCAGTCCGTAGGCAACTGCTACAGCTCCTTTTCTTCTTAAATGATTCCAGCTTAAATCCAGATATTCTAATCCCACGTTTCCATCTATTGCTGGACCAAGCAGTTGACCTCCGATTTCGCAGAAGTTGTTGTGGCTGAGGTTCAGAGATTTAAGCGTGTAGTTCTGTTTCATAGCTTCAACAATCGGCTCTGCATCCTTTTCCTCGAAGCCATTGTTCGAGAGGTTGAGCTCTAAAAGTTCGTTATTTTCTCTCAACATCTCCGACATGGCATATGCTCCTTGAGTGCGAAGATCGTTTTGCGAAACGTCCAGCTCTGTAATGAAGGGATTTTCTGTTAACATCTTGGCAATATAAATAGCACCGTCGACTCCGATGCTGTTATCGGCGATATTCAGGGTCAAAACGGAGTTGTTCTGCATCAAAGCCACCGCCACAGCCTCGGCTCCCATCGGACCAAGGTTATAATGCTTCAAGTTCATTTCTGCCTTGTCCAGCTGCCGAAGGAATGGAGTGCATGGTATCAAGCCAAGATTTTTACAAGCTGCAGTATAGTGCCTCTTGTCCCTTCTGCCTTCAAGGATGTCCTCGTGAAACTCACTCTCCAAATCCGTGTCGTACTCCTCTTCACTGCTCTCTGCTTGTTTTTCTGGGCTTAGTTCGTCTGCCAGCGGTTGTTCGTCGTCTTCAAGCGAAGAGTAGGGAACTTGTCTTATGCAGTCGACTTGGACTGGGTATTTTGTCGACATTGTTGCAATCTGAGAAAATATATGCAATCTGTGTCATTTCTTACCCATTTCCCAGAGGTCTTTTACTTCTCTCAGGTAGTTACTTAGTGTATGTCAGCCCATAATGTACCGACATATTGTACCACGTACTTTACATGTACATGTCTTATTCTACAGTCATAGCTTTCCATCAACCTCGTTCCCAAGATTCTCTCCTGGCTGAGGTCCCCATAGGCCCTTGCTTCGCCGGTGGCTCAATAAGATCAAGGCCTTTAGTAACATAATTACTCATAATCACAGAAAGAAAGAAAATGCACGAGAATGCATTTTTAGCTTCTTTCCCTTCACAGTCTTACAGTTTACCGCCGTTTTTGAACTCAAGTACTTTGCAGGGGGCTACGTTGAAAGTTTCGGCGCCTATTATTGAAAATAGGGTGTTTAGTGAAGAATCGCTCGTTCTGGGCAACGATTATTCGAGTAAGTACCGCAAGGTGCAGGCGCTAAAAACCTGTTTTATTACAAATTTAGAGTTTAGTACACGAATGCAGTTTGATTTTCTGAGTTGTGTAGGGTTTCATTAATACTTAAATGTTTGAAAAGGACCTTGTAAGAACGTACTTTAAGGTAGAAAGGTAAATTAACTATTTTCATCGTGTGCGAAGTTCATTTTAGTTCCGAGTAATTGTGCTTGCTTGACAAAGTCAAGTAAGTGCATTATAAACATATTTCAATAACTCTCGTATTTTTACCTGTTGGAGTATTGTACCTTCATGGAATGAAAATGAAGATTTTGTACAATTCAGATCCGTGATGTGTTGATGCTACAGTTGTATATGTGTAGTTAGTTTCACGTACGGCGGGCGAACCAGGTAAAAGCTTTTCTTTCCTCAAAATTATTGTTATTCATAGCGAGAATCTATTAGCGAGTCTCTTGTTTTAAATGCAAGGATTGAGGATGTTCTAAGTGGCCGTGGCATTTAAACACTACGTCGCTATGGAGATGCTTGAATGTTGCTTTGGTTACCGGACAGTGGGCGAGCCAAGACAAAGGCATCGCCAATGGCTTTCCGAAATTATACAGAAGCCTTTTTTGGGGAAATGACAAGAAGCTGTGAATAATTTATAATTTCTGTAAACACCGAGCAGGTGGTAATTCAAAACTAGTATTTCAATAGCTCAGGGATTGAGAAACTTTAAGCTAAAGAAAAACATACAGTTTGAAACATATTGAAATGGTTTAGCAATAAATCTAACTGTTGCTTTTGTATTAGAGAAAGCGCTGGTAAATAGATGTAGTTGTCAAGCTTTGTCCGCGAGAAACTAATCTCATTTAACTCAGCGAGACTACTGACACTTGAATTTTAACATCGTAGCCGTATTTATTTTTTGGTGGAAACCCAGTAATGAAAACAGTTTTATAGATTACGGGGAAGCATACAAATCAATTATACTTATCTTCATGGTTAATTATGTCAGTTTGGCTGCTAGCAGTCTTACAATAGTGAATTTCACCTGTTTGGCCATGAATAGTTTATGCAGGTTGTAGAATACAAAGCTCACTCAGATAATGAAATGCTCTGTTTGCTGTAAAGTAGTTCTTAGCTTCATAAAGAAGATCTGGAAGCTTTGTGTAATTATGTCGCAAGGCTGTCTTTCGTTGCCGCAAAGAGCTTGAGTGTGTCATTGAATGGTCGTGAACTGAAATAATGAAAATAGAGTTAAACACTACTTGGAACTGTTTTGAGTTGATAGTATCTTTTCCGTTTATGTGATTGCAGCGCAAGAAATATCCATAATTTACAATGGCTTTCCTGTATTTTCATTCCCTATATTGGTGCGCGTTTCTAGGATCTATGTCGCCTGAAAAGAAAAAAATTACTGGGTAGAAGTTGTGACGGATGGCGGCGTTAGGCCGCAGACGAGGCTACAATTTTGGTCGTAACTGTTAAAACGCCAGCGAATGTTTTGGATACGGACACTACGGATTTTGCACAAGAAAAATGGGCCATACATTTGAGAAAATCAAACGAAAGAAGTTTACGACAGCGCGAATTCATTAAGCTCCCTATTGGGGGAGGGTGGGGAACGAAAGACGGAAGCCATAAACCTTCACATGTGCTGAGACACCCTCCCCAAACAAAAAATAGTGTCTCAATTAATTATCACTAGGGAGTAGGCCCACCAATATTGTATACCTTCTCGCTTTCTCACCCCAACTCTCTCCCCAATCCCCATAATCTAGTCAGTTGATCAGTGTACAATTTATTGACAGTGTGCATAACGAAGGTTGTGGAAGGACGTAAACCAGTCAACTCGTTAACAATACAAGAACAACGAAAGTCAGTACTTAAAAGAATAAAAAAGGCGTATGCTTTAGAGGTAAGTGGCGTTAGTACCACTGTTGACGCTCGGAAAATGAGGTGTAATTATGACATATATAATTGTCACTTATGTACTTTTTTTTATCAAACATTGCAACTTAACTTACACAGCGTTTTGAGTAGCACCTCGCTTGATAGACAGCATCAGCACTTTCATCAGTTCAGAGAAACTTCCAGCCCAGGAACTGGTTTTAAAATTTGTCGTCGGAGATTTCTTAGTGTCCATTGTTCGTCAAACCTAACATAGAGCCAAGTTGCTTACTCTGGTATATTTCATCTTCTTGATCTCGTTTGAAAAACTTCCAACAACAGCTAATGACACCACGTCAACTAAATCCAAAAATCCCCCCCCACCAAAAAAAAAATAATATAATAAAGTTCAGAATCGTTAAATGACGTTGTTATTTATTGTTTCAGGAATCCTCATACACCGAACCAGCCGTCGATGTCACCGGAAAATACAAAGATCGTGCAGAAGTCAGGTAGGGCAGGGGAGTCAGTCACTCGTTTCTCCTGCCCCCGCCAAAGGCTTTCCATGGCTGAGCGGGGTACTGAAGACGAGCGCGGAGCGAGATCGGGAACCAGTTTCCAGATTTAAGCGATCGCAAGCGACTGGGAACTGCGAACTGGGGAGATTTTTCTCTTCATGTTAAACTAATTTGGCGAGTAGCAATTGAGGGAGGAGAAAATGTGATTGATCATTTCTCTGGTCGCCCGTTCCCTTGAAGAAAAGGAGTAGCTCTGGTAATGGAAAAGTAAGGAATGGCGAAGCGCAAAAAAAGATATATTGTGAGCCCTGACGCACGAACATGGGCCGAAAAAGTGAGCTAGTATTCAGGACAAGGACACATGATATTTTTTCTCTCCAGGCCTCTTGCTTCTCCTCGAGTCATTCCCATTTTCTTTTCGATTTAATGTCACGTCATTAACAAGCTGAGTTATGTTTTTCCTTCTTGGTTTAGACGTACAAAGGTCGGAAGTGATGTTCCTGTGGTGATTGCTGATGATGCCCCAGCATCCGTTCACAGGTGGACCAACTTGTTTGTTTGTTGTTGTGGTTGTTTACTTTTCTTTCTCTCTTTTTGTTCATAAAGCAGCATGTACTCACCTGGATCCTTGCGGTTTGAAGAGATACGATGGGAAAGACACGATTTTTTTTTGTAGTTGAGTTGTATTTGTTCCTTTGTATTCAACCAGAATTAGTCATTTTTCTTTCCCTTTGTCTTGGACTATATTTTCGAATCTGACACACAGTAACGAAAGTGATAACTAAAAAACCACAGCAGACATTACAGTGATGTGTTTCAGGCTACATATATTTTGTGTTGCTCTCCTTGTCCTGTCGGTAACTGTGCCCACATCGTGGCGGGCTCGCTTTTCTTCGTTACCTTGAGAAATGTTGTAATTATTGATATTTCCTTCTTATTTCAGACCTATTAGTACAGATAATGTTGGACGCCAAATGTTGGAAAAAATGGGCTGGAGCGAAGGAGAGGGTCTGGGACGAGAGGGAGCTGGGCGCCGAGAACCGGTAAGCATTGAGCCATCTGATGAACACCCATTGATGAAATTCGCGAGTATTAACTTGGTATTGCTGGGATTGGTTTTTCGATCTCTATCAACCTCGGCAAAAATAGCATGCATTCGTGGCTTTATATTACTTACGTCACTATGGTGCAGCAATGTTGCAAAACAAGTTTCACATTTTTGTTGCCCGCTTTACTGTACTTTAAGTTGAGTTTCACTGACTACACTGCTTGATATTGGCCCCACCTTTCCTCCATGTAGGTCATCGTTGAGGTGCGCGACAGCCTACGGGGATTGGGCACAGGAGTAAAACGAAGCCTTGATGATGCTGATGGGAAAAGTTACGCACGAGCTAAGACGCGTGAGAGATTTACGCAAGCTGCTCAAGTAACAAACGATACTACAAAGAGATTTGTCGCAGCCAAAACTGTGCATGCTGAAGAGAAAACTTCGCACAATAAAGACACTGATGATGTTATTTCACTTGGAGAGGAAGCTAAATGTAATAACGATTCAACGCAATCAAACAAGGCTGACAAGGAGGAAACATTGGATATGTTCTCTGAATGAGAGTCATTTTTAAAATCCCTGACGATAGGTCCAATAACTGATTCCTGCGGCACTGAACAAAAAGACTCAAGCTATTATGACTTTTAGGCAAGAAACAATAGATTATTCTCCTCGCTTTTAGGAGATTATGCTGCTCATAAAGCATTCTATGGAAAACTACTAAATGTTTACGGGAATCAGCTTTCCATTGAAAAGACTTGAAGTGCGATTTTTGTTTTCAATCGCCTTTCACCCCCCTACCAAAAATAATAACAGTAAGAAATAAATTTAATAAATCCGAACAACCGCGCTAATGCTTTTCTGGCTGCCTTTTTCTTCGCGAAAAAAGCGTGAAATGTCGTCCTCGAATCTGAAGATCTTCAGTGTGTACTGAGAATGTAGAGCGCTATAGGAAGGGAGCAAATGCACTCCCCACCCCGTAAAGCGCTTGGTCAGTAGAACGAGACATCTGAGTACTCAGTGGCTTTGTGGGAGCAACAGTTCGTTAGCTTTGGGATCTTTCGTGTTTCTTTCCCTTAACTGACTTGTTCCCCAACTCCCAGACGCCCCCAAATTACCAAGAATTCTCTCCTAGAAACAGAGGCATAGGCTAGAACAAACAGCGAACCGCAATTCCGTCAAAAACGCGTACATATTAAGCCTAAATAACACCATCACGATAAAACGACGTTGAGATAATGAAGATTATCTTCACATTAATGCTTACTTTTCCGCGGTCTGAGAACTGTAATTAATAATCAAAGATTACGGAATGCGTTCGACCGACCTTGAAACCAGGTTGTCGCTCATTTGGCAAGTTACAGATGATGTCAGTCGCGCCTGCAAAATCTCTGGGGATGCCAGATAAGGAAAAGTCTACATTAATCTCTTTCAAAACGCTCCGTTTTTGTTTTTTTCGCAATCGAAGCGCCCGCGATCACAGTGCCACTTCCGCAGTGTATTTGGTCGTCCAAACCGCTCATATGCTTATATGACGAGAAAGTAACGCAAAATTGTGAAGCCCCGCCTTCCCTCCCCCCCTCCCCCCACAAAATCCTTTTTGGTATTTCGGAACACCTAACCCACTCTCTCAATTAACCCTCCGGAGTATCAGGCCCTGATATGATGAACTCAATCAGGTTTTGCACAAGGGTCTTTTTTGCATTTATTATGCTATTTGCATACCATGCATCCTTTATTCTAGACCCTTAAAATCAACAAGTAGTAAGATACCCACTTTCTTATCCTAGTTTAGGTAAATGGAGGCATGACATTGTACAAGGTTCAACCATAAACTATCAGCTGAAACTGTAGTAAACGGTTCACTTCTGGGCCAATTTCTACAAAATTATGGTTACCGTATTTACTGGAAAAAAGTCTTTGTGCCTCAAATGCAGCCCTAATTTGAAGTCATTGCTTCTTTATAGGGTGGTTGCGTCACATGTACATTTGTATTCAAGGGCGGCACTTATTCAATACCGATTCAGTACTGTCATATAAAAATTCCATGCTGGGTTTGCTCCAAACATCTTTGGAACAATGCAGCCCTGACCAATGACCCTAATTCATAATCCTAATTAACACAGTATGAAAAAGAAAATGGTTTGAAAAGCAGAGATGTGCAATAAACCACTTTGGTTGGTGTCACTGACACAGTACTTGATCCAAAACAGCCAACTGTAGCAATGGTTTTACAGTTCATATGTTGTCTTGACCTTGATTTATCCCCATCTCAAGAGGACTGTACAATTCAATCCAGTTGCAATCCAGAGCATCTTCAGTGAGCAGGAATGTTTATAATTTTTAGTTTTTGTATGAGCTTATCCCATCAGCAGCAGCAACAGTATTGTCAGAGAGTTTAACAGTATAAGAGGAACTGAAACAGGAAAGATAGAGAAACTTAACATTCAAACAACAACTAACAAACTATTGCAGTCAACATGGCTCAAAGTCACATTCATTGATAATAATTATGACAATGATAATAACAATAATAATAAAGTAGAAAACACCGTCAAACCTACCATAAGCAACCGCCCAAAATGCATTAAGACTTACATGTAGTTTTGCTTACAAGAGTCAAATTTCAGGTGAAGTGCAGATTCATCTACTGTTTGAAGGGAATGTTACATGCGATTTCTAGGTTTTTGAAAATATATATTAAGATATAGGTAAACCCTCATACTCTGAGTAGTGTAGTACATACAGTGAAAAAAGAGATCAGACCATTACATCAGGTGGTCACTAAAATACAAGTGGAAGAGGTTAAAAGCAATGGAAAACTCCAAAACTGTCATTTTTAAAAGTGGTCGTGGACACTTATGAGAGGTGGTCATTAATTTTGTGGTTCCAACTATAGGGCTGTGACTGAGAAAATATTTAATTTTTTGGTTAACTGGTTGGTTGTACAGTGTAGGAGGTGGTGGCTTAGGAGGGGTGGTTGCACATGGAAGTTGGGCTGAACAGAGAAACCTTGATTTAACGAACTTCTTTATAACAAAGTCCTTGGTATAACAAACAATATTTTATTTTTTCAACCCAATGATAATAAAACATATGAAAAAGAACCTCAATATAACAAAACCTCTTTTAATAGAGAATAAATTTTGCCAGCCTCTTGGCCCTTTGTTATATCGATGTTCATGCTTAGGGCTTAAAGAGGTAAACTTACTTCTCATGACAGTCCTAACAGAGTGTATTAGATTAATAACTTGATGCTTGGTCCCTCTCTCTTCTCCAAATCCGGTCAGCTGGTCAGTTCCCCAACCCACTAGAGGGACAATAAAGTTAAGAATAAACACAATATTTACATACACTACAGGATAAAACAGTGGAGAAACACTCACTAAGTATAATACATGCATGACTTGTGTAAAGGACCAATCAATTAGAGTTGACAGGTAGAAGAATTTCTCATTGTGCAAACAAAACCCTCGCACAGAGAAAAGTGCGAACTGTTGATGCCCATAAGTGGTAAGTGCTTACAACAAACCATTGAAGAGCTGGATGCCATGAAGCTGTTTCCTTCCTCTCTAACATCATTTGTATAACACAAATAGATTTCACTTCTTAAGTGCCTGTTCACAGTTATAGGTTACAGAAGTTTCAAGTGTCAAGTCAATCATCTGCGGTTTATAAGCCATACCCCCCACCCCCTATGCCCTGCATTTTCTCCACATGGGAGGGTACAGCTATGCGTAGATTATGCTTTACTTATGGAGATTTCAAGAAATGTTGCACTATTTTCAACACTATGTCTACCTATGCGCCTCTTCCTTGTTCTCACTACATAAGACCCTGATTTTCCTGTTTTGCTGACAAGTTTGAAAAGACTAGACTTGAGTTTCAAGGATTGATTCAAGACTGTCAACTTGCAATGCACAAACTTACATTGTGGTACAGTGGCCACTCTGCATTAAGTTTGCCAGGGTGCAAAGAAAATCATTTTTACAGCTTGCCATTCGGGCAAGCTGAAGCTAGCATTTACTAGCCCAGATGTCATTTTAACTAGCCCCAAAAGCTTTTCGTCGAGCAGAATTGATTTCACACTTTTTCTGTTATTCAAATTCCTCAAAGAACATCACTTGCCCGTCGAGCAAGTTAAAAACAGATTTCACTAGCCCGATAGCAAAATCCACTAGCCCCGGGCTATCAGACACTACTTTCTTTGCACGCTGTTTGCTCCACTGTAGTTATATTATATCCATTTTAAATTTTGACAAAAAAATGTAAAAGGGAGACCTTATCCACATTTAAGTACAATGGGGTCATTTTCCTTGGGGAGTGCAAAGCATGCCTCTGCTTTAAACATACATTGTATAGTTGGTTTAAAAACCTCTCTCACCCTAAGAAAAGATTCAGACTGACCAGTAATGAAGACAGTCTGAAGAAAATTAGCGCATCCCACACAATTTCGTTTAGCTCAGTCCAATAGAACACTGAGTAAGAAAATCTTTATCTAGAATGAATAGAAAAATTATTCACAAATAGGCCATTATTTTGCACTAAGAGTTCATGTCACATCATTTTTATGAAAATGAAAGTTATATGATTTTTCCTTCAAAAAACCATTAGTGGGTCATATCTTGAACAAAATAATAGTGATTTTGTTTGCCAAACCAGCACCATTTTCTTAAAACGAAGTAACTTCGTAGCTGGTCACGTGACCAATATGTGATTTTTAAATCTATGAATTACCTCTTTCTGAACAAAAATTTTGCACTTAAACTTCAAGGAAATTGTTGAAAAGATCATGTGGTAACGTTTTCAGCATATCTGTGCATAATTATCAAACGTTTAACAAGATACAAGCAAAAAGTAGTTTTGGCCGCCATGTTGGAGGGCAAGAGTATGCCCTCTATAAAAATGGCGGCCAATACAAATGATACTACTTTGTTGAAAAACCAAAGTGCCATAAAATATCTCTATTAAATGCGTTTCCTCTCAAATTTCGGGTGTAAGACAATTTTTATGTGCTCTGTCAATTTTTGGCATCAGCAAGATTCCCACTCATTCTTTAAAGAAAGCATTGGTCACGTGACCTCTTAGTGCAAGTGGCCTATTCCAGCTGATCTCTGTGAAACTCTGTATCCTGTTTAGCATTACATTTCATGCACCTTCCAGCCGGTATTTGTAAATACCATTATTTCTACTTCACATGTAAATTGAGACTACATGTACAGTGTACATTTTCCCTGTGTTATCGGTGTTCCAGCGGTAATTTTAAACACGAGCAGAGAAAATTCCCATTTCAATAATTTCATGGATGATGAAAGAAAGATAAACCGAGATACAGACTAACAATTGGATAAGATAATATCTACAAATACCTTTAGCTAGAAAACGTTCTTCATGAAGCACAGCGACAGCATTAACCATTAAAAGACAAGCTTCCAATAAACTGTAAAACGTGAGCGCCATCTTGGATTTTCTGACGTGTTGACATGCGCAGAAAATGCAACTTTCTCTGGGAACGAGTGCACGTTGACTTCCGGCGGAAATGAAAGCTAGTAAACAAAACCTTTCCAATATGGCGGTTGGCTGATGCAACGTTTGCTTTTGTTTCGTTTTTAAGTGCAGCTTTTACCGCGGCTGAAAATTTTCTTGTCTTAAATGCTAGATGATCAAGTTCTTCTGCCGGCGACTGCGATTTTATCAGTATTTTAAACATTTTCTCTCGTAGCCAGTGGCTGATTTTCGATCAGGAATGCTCAGACATCATGCATTTTGGCACAACCGTTACTTCAGATGATGCAATTTATCTGATTCATTTCCTAAAATATACACCATAGAAAACGTAAATGGCGAGGTGAAAATAAGAACGTGGCTTTTCGTTAGAAGGGCACTGTTTCTTCTGACGTGTCCCTAGATCTAATAAAATCTTGCTTCCTTTTCAAATTGCATCAGTACCGATGGTGATTCAGTGTCAGAAGGACAAGTTCAGTTTTCTCACCGTGATACAGTCAAGTCAAGAAAATAATGTTAGCTATAACATCATTTTTCTCTCTTATTTTACTCATCGGAACAAGTAATCTAACATACGGATCTCTTTTAATCGACTATCCCTTCGACGATCTTGGGTGAGTATTTTGGTTTTAATATCATGGGTGTCTCGCATCACAGAATTTGTCAGAATACTGTAAATTTCCGATTATAAGCCCTGGACTTATACAACTTCGTAAGGGGGTTTAGAAGAGCTTATAAACTGGCGAAGGGGGATGGGGGCGCTCAAAACCTGACTAAAAGAGTGTTTCAAAACAAGCTACATAGCAGTGCTCATTTTTGAATTTGATCGCTTTTTAAGCTTCAAAACCTCGTAAAAAGTCGAATTCATCACAATACAAGCTAGAGAGGGGCATATATTCGGGAAGGGGGGTCACAGGGGACTCAAAAAACGGCTGCGTCTCAGCAATTTACAAGTGAACACATATAACTTCATAATATCATTTTTTTTTTGGCCTGTTTCTTTCAGACTTTGGCACAGAAGGAGCATATTTGACCTTATTGACTGGGACCCATTCGATGATGACCCGTTGGAACTGGACTTCTTCCATGATTTGTCCTTTCCCAGAATCCAATGGGCACGATCCAACCAACATATGAGAAATCCGACCCCTCTGGTAAAAAGAAATGACAAACAGAACTACCAACTTGCCATAGATGTCAAAGGATTCGAACCGAAAGACCTTTCGATAAAATTGATTGGTCGAGACCTGTTGGTGGTTGGAGAACACACCTGCGAAAGGAAACAAACAAGAGCATGCTTCCGGAGACGATTTTGTTGGAGACGAACACTTCCCGATGATGTAGACAATAGCTCACTGAAGGCCGCTTTGACCGAGTCAAACGTTCTTGAAATTGAAGCCAAGAAGAGTAAAGGATCGGAGAGTAAAATTCCCATTACCGTCCGAGGGAGGCCTGGAGACCAAGGGAAGCACAATACAAACAATCATCTTGAGCATGCGCAAACTATAAGACAGGGGGAATCGGAAAAGAAGGAGGAAGAAGCCACAGTGGAAATTGTACCCGATGAGATAGAGATAAAGCAGTAGGAGGAGAGAAAGCATTTTGTTATCCTCGCATTATCTCCATCACTAAGAACAGAAACAGCTAGACTCTGCTCTATTCACGCAGTTGGCTAAATGCCTATGGCAAACAAGTTTTTCCTTGCAAAATCATTGCAAATAAGAGCTGAACCTTTTCATGAAAAGTGATTTTGTTTTGCAAAAATTAACTTTGCAGTACATGCAATATAATCGAAAAAGCACATGAACCTTTCATGTTATTAAATTTGGAAAGCTTTTAAAAACAATTTTTCAATAACTATTAAGCCGGTTAAATGATCGACAAAGTACTCGTTGTTGGCATGTGGACACAATGCATGACATTTCTTTTATTCTTTAGTATTGAATAAAGCTAGCATGAGTACAATTTGTTTTGGGGTTCATGGCTTAGCTGGGTGTAGAAAATACCCTACAAGGTCATTGAATCACAGTCTAAAAATATAGAGCGTCTTTAAGTAACGTTTTTCGGAAAAAAAAACAAAGAATAAAACAAAAGCATGTGATGGATGAATAGACCATTTTACAGTTGTGAGCTAAGTAACCTAGCCTTTGAGTGAACGTGAGGCTGAGGTTGACCTTGTTTGGATACAAACCTCTTTCCTTTTCTTATGGCCAATGATGCTTAAAAAATACCAGTTAGGATAAGAACGACATGATTTACATTATAAAGCAGGAGGGGTTGTTTCAAAACAAGATCAACTCAAACCTCGTTTCCACCTGTAAGTGTAAAATGAACTATTACAAGAGTACTGAAGTATTGTTAATTATTAGCTATTGTTTCCATTCCCAACGTTGAATAATGAAAGCCTTAACCAGCTTTTCAGACACTCGTTACAAAACATAACGAGAAAAAATCGTGCTACGGTATTTTCTTTGCTCTTTTACCCACTGGGAATAAAAAAAAAAGACTGGCTCTGACCAATGATATAATAATCCAATCGTCTACATGACACCGTTTGCGCTAGCTTACTTCTACTCCAAAAGAGACGTCATTTTGTATTCAGCATAATTTAAAGCGCCCCAGCTATACAAAGCATTACAATAGCAAAAAAATACACATTCACAGAGCCATCAAAAAATCGGACTTACATCTGTGCGTTTCACAAGCCGGGTGTCAATTACTGCTGTCATTGCGTGCCTAAACGTCAGTTTTGATTTCTAATTAACAGCGTTCAGATCGTTATTGTTCTTCACCTTCAATAAATAAGACACTGAGCAGAACACTCCCAGTTTTTTTCTTAAATGAAAAGTTATAAAACCTGCCTTCCCTTTATAGAGGAAGAGGGTTATATCAGAAGGCTTCTCCATGCACGCACCCTTCAAAACAATGAAGGTAAAGTTCATTTCTTGCGTTTTTGTATGGAAACTATTGGAAAATCTTTCTAAATTCAGTTTTAACATTGCTAAGGATTATCTAGAAGGATATTATTCCGCTGTCTTTCAAATATCGTTTGAAACAAACTCTAAGGTGCAAGGGGGTAAAATATATATTCGCAGCCGAGTAATCGCCTGTAGGAAAGTTTACGGTTTAGTTCTGATCAGGGGGGCTTTAGGTATAAAGTGAAAAAAATTGTAAACGGAAAACGAGCTCGGTTATTATCTCGGTTTTCGTGTCTTCCATAACCTAAAAGTTAATAGCGTTTACTACTGTCCCTGAGCCATCTCAGTGAATTTGTCTGGATGTATTTTAAAATTGGTCAAATTGGTGATTGCAATCAAGTCAGTTGATTGCAATGGTGCTCCGTACAAAAAGTAATTCACTACATAAAACACTTTTGACGTTTTCCTCTTCACACTCTTTTCTTTATCTTTTTTTTAACAGATGACTTCATTTGTACAGTTAAGGAATTTCTTGATCCTTATTGGTATGATGAATTACATATTTCTACTTAGCAGTTAGCAAAATAGAAACTTGAACATGATATAATTGATATCGGATCGTGAAAGGTAAACTTCCATGCATTTTCCCACTATTTCTTTATAAAAAAGAACGTGTAACATTTTTCAGCGTTCCAACAATAAGACCTCGCATTCATGTGCATTCAGAATGAGTTAATTAGTGAGATTCATTTGTCATGGGATTAATATTTTGCCAGGTTCCCTGGAAGTGTAAGATAGGTCTATCTCTTCTAAATAAATGTATTCTCTAGCTAATTTGACCAAGTCGAGACGGCCTTTAATGTTGTCCGGGAGTTTTTAAACAGAAACGATGACCTGTCAAAAGAGAGATACTTTTAATTTATGTTACTTCCCCAAACGTTCCAACAGTTTTTACTTAATCCCCAGCGGGTTATCAAGTTTTACATGTTTTATGAACCAATTCTTTTATATATTTTTTCCTGGAGCTACCAAATTTCAATTAAATTTACATTGCACTGTATGTATATTTTATTTGTATATGTCATTTCTCTGTAGGTACTTTGGAATTATGTATAAAAACATCTTCAACGGTAATAAATATCTTCCTTATCGATCTTTCTTACTTAACTCTTAGCTCCTTTGGCAAGCTCTGACAAATACTTCTTGTTTTTGTAGCCTCTTCATCAACACATGACAGAAATGGAAATACGGCGGTACTTTGGTGTCCAAACCCATGCAGATGGTAATTTAAAAGAAAAATAGTGAAAGATATTGATCAAAGATACTCATTCTCGTTCAAAGATTATCATGTATTTTTCGCGAAAACAAAATTAAGATGGTCCTTGCTTTCTATTTTTATTGAAGTAAGAACTTTTTGTATGCGTAGAGGTATGTGTATATAACAGCTGATAACTTTCATCTTCAATTTGCCGATGTTCATTCACAATCGTATATCAACACTGCTTTCGGCTTCAGTTCCAGAATATGAAATAACAGAGCCATATCAGTCCAACAAACACGGTGATTTCGTGTCGCACACGCTCCACCGGCGGCACACGCGTGACGTGTATGACGAGAATGCGTGGCACTACAGAATGGACGCGTTTGGAAAGAAAATGCATCTGAAACTGAAGCAAAACACGCAACTGGCAAAACCAGGCCTCTCCCTGGAAACGAGGGATGAAAACGGTGACATCACTTGGTCCCCTGTTAAAACTGATTCCTACTACCATGGAAAAGAGATTTCGGATCCAGACTCTTTTGTTGCTCTTAGCAACAATAAGGGGCTGGTAAGTTTTCATGTCGACAAATAGACAAAATATCTAATGTTGATATCTTCACTTGCGGAATAAAAGTGGGGGATTTTATGCTTCAATTCGCCACTTTAGACACGAGAAGGAATCTAAAATGGATCTAGTTAACTTTCCGAAAGACCTGTGGCCAATGGCTGACCAGTGAGTCACCAGTAACGATTCCAAAAACTATCTTTACGAAAGTTAAGTTTGCTCAATTACCTTCTCACTTCTGATATGGCGAGACTTTGATTTTCGTGATCTGAAAAAAGACCTGTTAACTTTTAAACAGTAATTTGGCCCAAAGGAATGTGACAGGTAGAATTTTAAAAGCAATATCAATAGGTAGTAAATCAAATAGAAAATTGAAAAGAAAATATTTAAGCAATATTTCTCATCAAACATTAAAGCATTGCTTGAGGTTTTAAGAAATCGTTTACATTTTGCAAAGTTTGGGGGCTTTTCCTTTTTTGATGGCTAACCATTGATTTCCACGTAGTGTATGCATTGATTGAACTTGCGGGTAACTTCTGGGTAGCTATCTAAATATAAGTATTTTTAACGTAATTTTTTTATTAAAACAGCCAAATACTATTTCTTATTTTTCGCAGACTGGTATGATAAAGCTGTCGCGTGACACCTTGTATGTTCATCCTCTTCCTGATCACCTGGCTAAACACGTGACTAGCGGAAGTGGAGGAGCTAAAAGTCATCTCGTGTACAGGAAGTCGAAAGTATCATCTCAATGCCACACTAAAGTAGGTGAGAGGAAGGGACTAAGTTACAAATCCATCAAAAATGTTTTGAGACACTTATGCATATTTACCGTGTAGGTTGCGACCAGATCCTGGTAAATGGTTCAAAATAAATATCTAATTGAATACTCCCCACAATTTTTGATGTAAGTTTGATCTCGACATTGTTTAACAAAACTCTCACAAGAATCTGGGAATTTTGGTTCAGTTTGATTTTAAGCTGTAGTAGTCTCCTTCGCAGCCGTTATTAGGGTCGTCACTCGTCACGCAACGCCCCTCCCCACTTAGGAGACTAAAGCTGTAGGTGCTACTCAGAAATTTAGTTTAAGAAACTCATTTCCGTTTCAGGCTTGGCTTCAAATATTGATAAGGTGGCAAAGAAGAACAAGATCGGAGGCGCTACAAATGCTGATGCCGTTGTACAAAAGTATTTACAAGCAGCTCTTGTGTTGGATGAACACGTCGCAGCTGCTCACGGGAATGACACGGCAGACTACATGCTAGTTTTAGCCAACATAGTAAGTAATGGTGTGGCCAGTGAACAAGATCTCCAGGGAATGATAGGATGCAGAGAGGGCAAAAAAAGACGAGGAGGAGATTTCCGATTTCCCCCGCTCACTTCTTTGTAGTTGTTGTTGTTGATGTTGTTATTGTTGTTTGTTTATTTTTTAATTCCAAAACGAATAGGATGGAACATCGGTAAGCAGCGCCCGTTATTAAGGGGCATCACTTCATTTTATTTTATTTTCTCATTGCAAAACGTACATTATGGCCACTTGTTTGGTTGCTTGAAACATGTTTTTATAGCCGGCTCATGTGCTAATATTGGTTTTTTGTTTGTTTATTTGTTTGTTTCTCAGGTTGCTGGAACATTCCACGATAATTCCATCGGACACATAAAAATGAATTACGTTGTTAGCCGGCTTGTGGTCATAACCAACAAAGAGGTGTTATTTTTTTTTCCGCAGACCAGTCTCTACTACTAACAGCAACTTCACAGAGGCGCTTACGCGCTCGAAAATCAGGGTACACGACGCCAAGTAATCCGGCCCGGCACATGCTCACAGCAGGCCTTGCATTCTGACATACTTAACTAAAATATCTTAAACAAAAAATAGTAGAATTTGGTTTACTGCTTGAGCCAGACAATAACGGAATCGCAGGAGATATGCGAGGTCAAGATGATATAATATTGCCCTTCCACTTTTTAGGGGAGTTCGTCTGGGGAAATGAAACACGCAAAAAAGAAATAGCCAGATACGATTTGTTGTCTGGTCCAAAGAATTTTTTCCGGCGAGAACGAAGAGTGAAATCACTAATAATAATGACCGATCTTGCCCACTATGGGTAACTAATCAGAACGCCTAGGATAAATTTATTAATACTTTTACAAATGTAATTTAAAAGTTTACCTTTTGTTTTCAGACTCTAAAGCAACGGCTACACATGTAAATTCCATTTGCAAAAGTTTTAGATTGTAGTCCCTGATTTGCATGCCTAATCTTGCCCGCTCGCGAAGCCACACAAAAGTTTGTTGAAAAAATAATGATACGGTTTGATTGAAGACCTGCCTTCATCAGTGATGTTTTTCTTCTCTTTACTTTAGCTAAACGTTTATAGGAACTCATCTAGCGGACGAAGACTGGACATGATCGCTGTGTGGGCGGCCAAACACAAGTCAGACAGCAAAAGCGATCCATTGTACTTTGACGTCATCTCTCTGGTTCATGAGTAAGTGATGATCAAATTGTTTCAGCAAGATAAAAGGTCTAAGAATTCTTTTCAAAGATATTAAAGAAAACATTTACTTTAAAAGCTCGCATTGGAGAGATCTGCTGTTAGCAATACTAGGGTAACGGTTATGTTTTATAATCAATGTCATCATTTCAAAAAAATTAACATCCTTGGGCTAAAAGAGAATTATGCTTGTTAGTTTTTAATCATTTGGCAACTTCGCTTTGGCGTAATTAATCACTATTTTCACTGTAAGTCACCATCTTGGTTTGAAAAAAGAAAAAAAAATAGCACTAGCTGTCAAAGGCCAAGACCATTTCAGCGGGGAGTACAGACCGCGAGGGTGTGTCAGTATGTATTTGCAGTAAAACTAGGATCTACCTGAGAAAAGGTCTGGAAGGAAAATTCAAAAGGAATTGAAGCTGATTAACTGTAAAATCTGCTGATTAATTCTTAGCGCCCTAACGAAAACACATTAATATATATTTTCTGTTTTACCAGATCTTGTTGTGGTGGAGGTATGTACATGTTCATTAATCATATTTCCTTAACATACTTGCATTAAAATGCTTTCTTGTTTTGGCATATCAGTCCTCAATAAGGGCCCAAATCATGCTTTGTATCCCTCAAATGCCAAATACATATATGCCGGGTGTGATTTCTTCACCAGGACAGGAGAGGGATTTCCTCTTATGACTAGTGCTAGCTGGGGGCTATCAATAGTGTCAAGAATATTTGAAACAAAAATGCAAAGTTCTGCAGCAGAGTTCAGTTGTCCTCTTTGTCCTTTCAGGAAAGGATTCTTTTGACACTCAACTCCCAGAATCTCTTGTGCTCAGTATCCTGTATAATCCCGTTAATTATTTACAATAACCTGTATCCCTTTAATTTTATTTCGTAAAAAAACCTCGTGTGTGGATTGCATTCCTAGGGCTAGCTATTCTGGGTGGTGTCTGCTCGCGTAGAATCAACAGCAACGTGAACGGAGATACGGGTCTACAGACCGCCAGCACTATCTCACATGAGACTGCTCACAAGTAAGCAACTTAATTACCAGCTGTCTTTTATTTATAATTCATTACTTTAATTGTCAGATATTAAATCAAGTGTGGTCTTTAGTGCCAGCTATTGTTGGTGTCCAAAGAGACTGGAAAGATTGGAGGGTAAATGAACATCGATACAGGAATATGAATATCAACATCGATCTATAAAAGGTTGTGCTACACTTAACTGTGAAATTCTACATTGTAATTTTAAGAGCTGTCGTTTCTGGACCCTCTACTCCTCTATTTATGTCGTCAAGAAATAGTCGAGCGCGCGTATGTGGACGGGCTCCCTCCACGCTTAAAAAGCTCAGAACTTCCAGTCTTCGTTTCATTTTCTCTTAACCTGACAAAAAACTCTGGATAAAGTTTTTTTTTGTCATACAGGGTCTGACTGAGTTTAAATACCGTAAAAACAAAACCTTTTCCAAGCACACTTTTTTCCTTCAATTTTTTCAAGTATTGGTATTGGTCACGACGGAGCCCAAAGTTGTCCAGATGGGATCAACATCATGGCCACCGGAACAATCGCCGGAGAAGGATCTTACAAATGGTCCTCCTGCAGTAAAAATGCTTTGCAGCAGTATCTTAGGTTAGTTCATATTAAAAGTAATCTTTGGTGTGCATGCAATTTGTAGTGTGTACTAGTTGAACGCATGCCACATTAGCCATATGGAGGGATAATAGGGAGAGGAAATGATCTCAGGCTAACACTGCCAGGGATTATGGGCTCCTGGTTTTGCATTATTAACCAAAAAGCAAGGCCAAATTATCTGTATATAAACTGAAGAAAAAAAGTACAGTAAAATGACTTCCATTTCGCTTAGTGTTATAACACTAAGCGAAATGGAAGTCATCGCCCTTACTCCTTTTCAAAGGTTTCTCCGGATTCCGGACCCGCGAAATTTTTACTTCCGGAATCCGAAATCTATAGGAAAATTTTGCTAGTAGAGTCCCTAATCCTGGGCATTGGGATCCGAATGTATACATCGAAACGGAAAATCAGTCTGTAATAAACTCAATCAGATGAATTTTGATAAAGTATTTTAGAACTGGTGGATAGTGTGAAAGTTAACGTTAGTTATAATAAAAGACCAGTTTTATTTTGCTTTCAGTAAAATATAATGTACATGTACTAACCTTACCATTTTTCACTAGAAACATATAATTCAATTATTTACTCATTCATTCATTTATATACAACAATGCAGCGGACCAGGTTCCATTTGTCTGAATGAACCACCTCGAATATCTCTTCCTGCTTTTACCAACCAGAACATTGCTGGAAAGTTGCCTGGTGTGGTTTACAATAGAGCTGTTCAGTGCGAATTCCTTTTTGGAAAAGGATATCGTGGTTTTGGGGCAAGTTTTTTCTTTACTTGAAGTTTATGGGAAAATTTTGCTTTACCGTGATAATAAACAAAGCATCGTGAAATCTAGAACTGTAATTATTTTAAAAATGATGTTTCTGATTCAAATTAGATATATACAATATTGTGATCAGTTGTACTTGTATCGCCCTACACAAGGGAATCCGGGAAATTTTTGCTTGTAAAATCTGGAATCCTGGGCTTTGGAACCCGGAATCTAGAATCCCACTAACGATTAGAAACCAAAATCCAAGGTCTTCTGACAAAGTCAGGAATCAAGTGTCTGGAATACGGAACCCACGGTATGGAATCCAGAATCAAGACTGTCTTGGATTTCCTTTAACGAATTTCCTTGCATGGGGCTACTTGTACTCCAAGTCTCCGACGCGCGTTTGGACTGCAGGTAGTTTTGTAAGAACACCCGTCACTGCATACTTTATCATCTTCAAGGTTAACTGCAACGTCTTGGTCGATATTGTTCGTTTATATTTTTGTAGGGACAACAGAGATATTTTAACTTGGTGGCAAGTGTTTTAACATTTGCGCACGCGAAGTAGACTCGAAGGGGAAATTTCAAAAATACCTGCCGCCATGTTTACCAGACCTCGGGAAGTCGAAGTCACCTTTGTATGTATTATTTGTTTTTTTTTTTATTTTTAGTCCAGCTGTGTCACTTTGTATTGCACAAAGAATGGGTACGTTTACACAAGCATGGTGGTCGGTCCTGTCGACGGAACGAGCTGTGGACCACGTCATGTAAGTTAAGGATTGTGCAGTGTGTATTTCGGATCGGCAGCCTTGTGGTACTCCTTTTTTGTGACACCATTCCCTTTATTGGAGTGAAACTTTTGTGGCTGGAGTGTGGTGGTTACTTTTATAATTTACCACCAAAGTATGGAATGGCCTCACGAAACAAAGCCAGGCTACTCAGAATGACCCTCAAGGGCGGGAGGTACTGACCTTTTACAATCTTAAATTTGGAAGAGTATGTTAATCAGGATAGGATGAACTTTAGAGACTCAGAAAACGGTGACTAAACTAAAGACATTGAAAACCTGTTATTTGGGATTAGAAAAACAGGCCTATCTTTTGAATGACTTGGTTCTTTTAACCGCCTCCGTCTCTGACATTTTTTTTATAAAATAGTGGTGTATCCATAGTAAGTGCGTTGACAATGGATCTCCGAGGATTGACGGGGGGTGGAGTGAGTGGTCTGAGTATAGTCCTTGTAGCCGAACGTGTGAAGGAGGTCTACAGTACCGAAAGAGGGCTTGTACCAACCCGCCGTATGTACTCTAAATATTTTTTTGCCTTTTTTTTGTTGTTGTTGCATGTTTTCCTTATAATTAAAACTATTTTCTTTGCGGATATAAGAACAGTAGGTTGTTCCCGCCAAAAAGGTGTCTAAAAAGTTCACGAACTTTAGTTTTTTCCACTTTCCCATGTATCGCGCAATGTTGTCTTTACCCCTCTATAGTCATTCTGTTCGGGATTGTGAGCCAGTTCCAGCTATATAGTGGTGCCGGTACTCGAACCAGCGACATTTAGGTTACCCAATGACCCATTGACAACGATACCGTAGAGTCTTTTGTTTCTGGTTAATACTTCTCTTCATTTTGTCTGCTTTAGGCCAACCAACGGCGGAGAGAAATGTTTAGGAAGAGACATTGGACATTATAAAATATGCAGTTACCAGGTATAAAAATGTGTACAGCATTGTGCATTGTAATAATCCACGGCACTCAGAGCAAACGAATGCATCTATCATAAGAGAAACTTGAATTCCAATAACTATACTTATATTTAGGAAGATATTGAATGGCTGCATTAAAGCCACCACTGCCCGTGCTCGGAATTTTATATTAGAGAGATTAACATGCACATTTACGCCAAATAGCAGACTTGAATTTGTACCACGTGACCAAGTTTTCCCCTTATTTTCCGTTTACTGTTTATTGCTTCTTTACAGTTTTAACCATAGGAATCGTTCGGGACTGTTTTTATCTGCTTATTTTCTATTCTGAGAAATTCCCAACTTGAGTCTGACGCCTTTGCCGTTTGCGGTAAACGTGAATCCTAATCTCTCTATTACTGAAATATCTTTTACTGATATAAGAGTGTATTTTTTAACGGCAGATCGTTTTATAACTTTGATAAATGCTAACTACTTTTTCTTAGTGGCCTTCTATTCCTATTTGGAATTGTTAATTATTCGTCGTTAATTGTTATTCGTACTCTGAAATTCTCTTGCAAACCCTGTGAATTTTGTTTTCAGATCAAATGCCCTTTGCCCTCTTACCGGGACTTGCAATGTAAGAACATAGACCCTGCAAAGATTTCCTACGCTTATGGAGGTATCAGTGAAGTTAAAGATAATAGTTAAAAGAGAAATAATGAAACCCCAGAGAACAAAGTAACATGTTAAACAGTACCCAAATTAGAAAGAAATGTTCAGTTCCAAGAATTGAAAAGTACAGTTCGACGCTACGACTTTAATGTATCTGAATTTTAAGTAAAATCCTCGAGGATAGTGTTCATGTCAAATTCTTCAACTTCCCCCGATCTTTACAGCACAATCTCATAATATTCATATCTTTCCAAACGGCTATATTGTAAAGGGCAGAAACTTACGAAAGGCTGCAACCAACCACCATTTACTGAAATGAAGGTCATATCTTTGTATTATTATAGATAAATGTCATCTTGCCTGCATACAGCATGGTACCATAACATATCCACACGGGCGAGTTGCTGATGCAACTCGATGTACCGCTGACCCTGATGACTTTGATGTCTGCATCGAAGGAAAATGTCGGGTACAATTAAACATCTTTAAATGTAAAAATAGACTTTTACTACCTGTGACAAAGATGAAGGAGGTATAAACAGAGGAAATGATTTCGCAGCTTGGAACGTTTTTTGAGCATGTTGAATTTTCAGAACGAAGCGAGCGCTTCCTCTCTTCCAAAAATGAATGCATGACCTTCAACCGTTTTAAGCTAGCTTCTGCATAGTGCAAAAGTTTATCTGGTTGAGTGGGACCTTATATACTAAAAATGCGTTGGATGAAAATCAAACTAACTAAAAATTTAGCATCACTTCCGTTGTCACAGTAGTCACGGTGTGTGTATCTTTTTTTTTTTTTTTTCACCGATAAGGCCGTAGGCTGCGATCATGGGTTTGAGTCAGGAACGAGAAAGGATCGCTGTGCGGTATGCGGGGGAAATGGGGAAACTTGTAAATTTGAAAAATCATCTTACACCAAAGACCACAGAAGCTACGGTAAGTTCACCGCATAACAAGTAATTAAAAAATACAGTGGTACATGTACACTTTAAAGCAAACTAAAAATTAACCGTGAGCGTGGAGCACAATTGATATTAGCCTCCCCCGCTGGCATTTTTAGGGGAGCTCGTAGGGGAGCTCGGAAGAAATACGAGCTCCCCTAAAAATGCCTGCGGGGGAGGCTAAATTGATATTTGATATGGACCAAATTTTGTATGGTCATTCTTCCCATACAGGTTTTGGAAATGCAGATACTGTGGTGATTCTTCCTGTTGGAACAGTGAATGCAACGATCAAGAAGAGAGGAGTTAATTTAAATTTCTTGGGTAGGTAGTTCGAAACTTACGTTGGACATTTTAGGCTCGTCTTTTTCAAATAACCGTGGTATTCTTCCATCATATACTGCGAGATTTTTTCTCTTAATAGGCATTAAGGATCATTTGTCAGGTCAATACATCATTCATCTTCCTACCTATAGTCGCACGGTCTACTACAATGGAACGAAGATTGCTTACATTCGTAATGGATATGAATATGCAGATTCCCTTGAAATTGACGGGCCTACAAATATCCCTCTGAGAGTAGTGGTAAGTTCAAAAAATGTCACTTCATACAGAAACATACAACGATATACAAGAACGAATAAACATGCGGAATTAAAGAGTATCAACTAATCTTGAGATACCAAGGAGTGGCGAATTTCTGCCAAATATTGCGATATTTTCCAATAGGCCAGTTTCAAATGATTAAAATTCATTCACGTACATTTTTTCAGCCTAGTTAGGCTCACTAATTTGTCGTGTTTAAATAAAGATTGATTGATTGACCGATTGATTGATTGTTGATTGGTTGATTGATTGATTGGTTGACTGATTGATTGATTGTTGATTGGTTGATTGATTGATTGATTGATTGATTCATTGATTGTTAATTGATTTATTGATACTTAACTCAGAAGCTGAGATAAATAAAGCAAAAGAAATTGCATTGAGTTTAAGAGATTAATAATCCATTTCTTTTGCCTTATTACTCTCCGACTCGGAGCCAAGTTTGAATTTTGATAATTCGAAAATGGCCCAATGTGCTGCCAGTTTTTATCTCATCTATGCATCTTTTAGTTTGCTTATATACGAGGAACACCTCAAGGAGTGGACTATGAGTTCTACAGGCCATTACTGTCAAACGAATCTGCTATCTCTGTTTCGCTTAAATGGGTCACTGGACCCTGGACTGCCTGCTCTGGGAAATGCGGCCAAGGTGATGTAAAAATCCAATTATATTGTCTATTTAAGGTATAATTTAAGATCTTTCAAACCAAGCAATACAATTATGTTCATTAAAAAATGATAATGGGCTTAAGAAACAATAAGTTGTTGATCATGAATGAGAAAATCAAGTCTCGGATCCGGGAAAAAATAACCAACAAATAAAACATGGACCAGCTATCTTCGTTTTATCGGCCGTTGGCCAAGCCTCCCACGCAGGCGATTTTTTCGGGGGGAAGGGAGGAAATACGACTCTTCTAAATACGCCTGTGTTAGGCCGCTAGCCCTTTGAGGACCACATGGACATGCTAAAGAGGGTGTACTGTCAGAAAATATATGAAATCTTAGCAAACACACACGATAATTCCAATCGGGTGGGGAGAGGAGCATAGACTTAAGTGTAACTTTGCTTAATTGCTTAGAGAAAGGTGATGGGACCGCAATTACGTACAAGCATCTAGCGGTCAGTATACTTACGTTCATTGAGGTAGATATGCCGTATATAACCAAGTTAAATTGTTTTTGTCATATTTAACTTAGGAATCTCTACAAGAGAAGTGCACTGTGTCCGTTCTGATGACGAGACTCCTGCTTCAGTTGACTCTTGTTCAAAACATAATAAACCTGAATCGCAAAAAAATTGCAAGCTTTCGACCACCTGCGCTCCTGAGTAAGTTTTCGTTCAAGTTACTTTCTTAAACGGTTTATAAAGAAAAAGGTCTATGTAAAGGCCTTTTATTTTCTTTTGGGCTATATGTTGTCCTCATAACGTTGATTTACTTGGGTCTTGCTTATAAGCAAGTGTTTTTATTAATGCAGTTAAAGTTTCTTTATCTAATATGCCTACATATATTTTATTTGCAATGATAATGCAGAGACGAGGAACGGGGAACAGGGAACAGGGAACAGGGAACAGGGAACGGGGAACAGGGAACAGGGAACGGGGAACGGGGAACGGGGAACGGGGAACGGGGAACGGGGAACGGGGAACGGGGAACGGGGAACGGGGAACGGGGAACGGGGAACGGGGAACGGGGAACTTAATCCTTAGGGCTATCGGTAACTCCCCATACCTATTCTCTGTTTGTTTCACGTCATTTTTTCCCGTCCCCCTCTCCTCGTTGTAGTAACCGTCCTATACTCGCAAATTAAAATTTTTCTACAAAGTGAAAAACAAACCATATCTTAGTAGGCTTAGTTATTAGCAATATGTCGTTTTTCCCCTTCAATTTTAGGTGGCACCTAACTCCATGGAACGAATGTTCCAAAACTTGTGGAAAAGGTGACCATTTTCGTGTTCTTTACTGTCGAAAGCAAATCAATGAATCTTACTTCCAAAAAGTGGATGACAAAGCTTGTTATTCGAGCACTAAGCCAAACGTAACATTGTTTCAACAATGTAATGAAGTGATGTGCCCACCTGAATGGAGACCTCTTCCTTGGTCCGAGGTAAAATTTTAAACCACAAAACCATTGCTAATAATGGTCTTTTAAAGCTTTATTTCAGGTGCGTATGACAGGAAATTTTTTTTATCGTTTTTAATTTTTAAATATGTATAAAATGTGTCCAAAATCAAAACTTGTCACAACTTATGCATAACCTTTTTTTCGGCTTCAAAACGCGCAAATTTCCCTTCAAAAGTCTCCGCCCTATCGCGCGCTAACTTGACAAGTATGACGTAGAGTGATTTGCAAGAGTGTAGAATAATAAACAAGATGACGGCTACTACAAAGGATTGTCTTTGTCGACAATTTCCCAATCATCCGCAAAATCTTTATTTGCTTCGCCATATCTTTCGTTAATACAGCCAGCAATGACTAGAATCGGAGGTGAAGGCTGAGCAAATCAACTGACGTCACATAGCGTCATCAGCCTTTCTTTGATTCTTTACTCGTTTCCAGTCTCTGAGATGTTTCTCAAAGAGAAAAACCGTTTTTGGAAAGCCAGAATTCAAGACTTTTTTTGGAGACAAGTTTTTAAAGTTTAAAATTGTTGATTAAACTTGTCTAAAGACTAAAATCAGTTTTTTAAAAAAAATCATGTCACAAACATAGTATTGCTTGCCCTCACAATCACAGAAAATTTCCTTCCACAGGACCCCTGTTTCATTTCACTATGACATTTCTATCATTGGTTATACTGGTTCCCCGTCCTTTGTAAAATTGGGGTGTGGTCCTTTCAAGTTTTCATATTTTTATTGGTCGATATGTCTTGTAAGCAAAAGGAAATGAAGCATGTTTATGTCCAATGATGGTACTTTACATCTTTTTTCAGCTAGGTCAGTTTGGCAGTCTGTCTTATAACACATCAATAACAATCACCCAGAATCACAGAATTTCCCATTTTCTATCATACCTGATTTTATTTCGCTTTTAGTGTTCAGCGACGTGCGGCGGTGGTGTAATGACGCGAAAGTTAGAATGCATCAGAAAGAACGAAGTCGGGCAAGTTATAAGAGCTGGGCACTCATTTTGTCGATATGCTGCCAAACCTCTTACAGAAACCGTCTGCAACGAAGACAAGCACTGTGATCGTAAGTGGAGCCCAAATACACGCTATTAACCTTTTTTACGGCAGCTATTTTAATCGTCGGCACGGAGCATATTTATTCTAGCAAGGGGAATCCAAGACAGTCTTGGATTCTGGATTTCACGCCGTGGATATCCGGATTCAAGGTACTGGTTTCTGGATTCTCTGTCAGTGGATCTTGCATTCCGGATTTCCATAATCCCTGATTTTTTTAACTGTATTGCGGATTCCCCCACATGAGGCGTTATGAGGGCATGGAGAAGAAACTTGTGCCAAGTGACAAAGAACGCAAGCGCATACGCAAACAGAAGGAAAAATTGTCCTCTTGTTTGCGCTCATAGTGAGGTCTACTTTACTTTTCCCACAGTTTTCTCACAGGATTCTTTTAGCGTTTTACTCTACCAGGAGCGGGGCTCCTGACTCTACCATATATTAAAGTAAGACTTTTCTAGATCTTGTCAATTTTGATTTTCTTCTGTTTTTATATTGCAACTGAACGATTCATTGTTATTATAGTTTCGCGTTTAAAACTACTGTCGCCTTTAGTGTCCGTCCCATAAACAACACGGACAAACCAATGTCTGACTGATCTTTTCTTACTCAGCTCCACCCGAAATTCAAGTGGCGTGTTTTATCGGTGCTGATAATATCAAAGAAGTACTAGGAGATTTTACTAAACAGATCAACTGGGACGACACAAATAAAGTGGTAAAGAAATGTGCTAAGCTGGCTCACAATAAAGGTTACAAGCTTTTTGCCCTGGGCAGCAATGCCCTGTGTTTATCAGAGGCCAACATGAAGCAGAAATACCATGTAAGTGGTTCTGAAGGAGCGAAGTGCAAAGACGGGATTGGAATGTGGAACAGCATGTTCGTCTATTCCTTAGGTAAAGTGGCCTTGGCCTCCCATGCAGCGGTTCTTAAGGCTTCGTCACCCGTCCCGTCCCCAGGGGAAGTAACTCGTGACAAAACGTTAAAAACGTTTACGTATGCGTGGGAAACTATATGCGAATAATGCTTTTTTTTTATTTTAAACACAGATTACTGAATATTCGAACCTTCTCGTTATCAACACCTGTCTATTACAGACAGCCTCGTGTGTCGTGGAAACCAAACTTCACGTTAATCCGATTGACTGCTCCGCAAAGCGGACAACTGGTCTCCCCCTTTTGGCTTCAGGGTTAAGCTAAAGATTTTTAAGCGAGTCACGTTCATTATATGAAACGGTTCAAATTCCTAATATAATTAGAGCCAACGTATATCGCAGAACCTCGCGTAGCTGGAAGGCTGACCCATAAATTGCTTGGGGTGTGAGACGGAGAAATAGAGTGTGTAGTGACTTAGGGGGTGGGTTTCAGCAATAGTTTTGAAATTGAAAGTTATTAACAATTATTTCTCGAGCCCGAATGGGCTCTAAGTCAATAGCCCATGAGGCCCGAGTTCGAATGAGCTATTGACTCAGAGGCCTTGAGGGCGAGAGGAATAATTGTTTTAGTAAAATCCAGCTAGTTGGTAAAAAATATCGAGACAAAACAACTTTAGCTAGCAAAACGCGATTCAGCCGCCATTGTTTTGTTTTCAAAGCCGGCGCTTTTCGCTACTAGTGGGCTATAACATATAGCCTAGTAGTAACTCAACCAATCAGAACGCAGCGTTGATAATAGACCACTAGTTGGATTTTACTAAAGACGTATATTCAATAAACTGTTGGTTGAACCGAACTAGTACCCAGTGCCCTATCTTTTAAAAATGAAGGAATGATAAATGAAACTGGCGAGTATTGGCTTTTCAAGGTAATATATACTTGTTGCAAAGGAGTTTGTTATTATACAACTTTTACCAAAAATAAATGCATAATAATTATATTTTGTAGAGCCCCTGCCTGATATCCAACCAGTTGGTTGTTTTCACGACAGTATCGATCGAGCCTTGCCTGATAACTATGCTAATTTTCGAGCTCAGATCATCTGGACGAATATGAACCTGACAGTGTATAAGTGTGCACGAGTGGCCCACGACAAAGGCTATGAATACTTCGGTGTTCAGTTCTATGGAGTTTGCTACGGTGGAAAGGATGGTGAAAAGAGTTTTGCAAAATACGGCAAGAGTACGAATTGTTGGGAGTTTGACAAACAGAACGGATTTAGTGTTGGCAAGGACTGGCTCAACTTTGTCTACAGGATTGAGTAGCATGGCAAGTATTTTAGCATGTTGTTTAGTAACTCGGAATAGTTTTGATAATTCTATGTTAACTCATAACAAGAAAAGGATTAAAACAAACTGCATGGTATCACCTAAAAATTTATAATTAACACCACTCCATTTCTTCATTTTTTTACGCTACATTCCGTACACATGACCGTTACCAATTTCATCGTGCTCTTAGGACACTTTTAGAGTATGACTTACTTTTTGTTGATATTATTCATTTTCAGTAGATTCCACAGGATTCAAAGAAAAGCAGCTGTCTCCGTACAAACGTTTCACCTGCCATGTGGCTTACGAAATCATATCTCGAAGTTTCCGCGAAGTAATTATTGCAATGTGAAGGAATGTATTTAATACCTCACAATAAAGGTGTTTGAAAGAAAGGCTTGCGAAGTGTTCCTTAACTTTACCGAACTAAATACCTTTTATGTGTAATCCAACTAACTCAAGTTCCTTCAGGCATCAAATACTAAAAGCTTCAAGAATTATTAAAGGTCTTAAGTGCTGTGAAAGATGTTTGGTTTACTCAAGCGGCCCGCCCGGCTTCTTGTACGACGAGTAATACCAATACAAAGTATTCACAAATGGTGGACACGCGGGAAAAAACTGATTGCAAACAACAAATCACTACTAAACATTAAAAGCAGAAGAGATCCCACGTAATTGTATTCAAAAAGAAGTCCGTACAAAGTTATTTTAAGTGGAATCCGTGCTAATCACTCTGCAAGTTCACTGAAAGTCTTCATTTGCAATTTTTGTTTATCCTCCAACGCCTCGCTTTCATGACTAGGCACCAGTTTTTTCCCGCGTGTCCGCCATTTGTGAATACGGTGTATGGCTCTTACCATTCTATAAATCATTCTCAGATCATTATATCAATAATATTCTTGAAAAATTACTTTAAAAGCGATGCTGTAAAGGATGTTTTAAACTGATTCCTAAAAATAATAACTATTTCCAAACTTCTTTTCTTTTTGAAAAATCTAATACTGAATTTCGACATCCATGGGGATCACAAAAACATAGTCTTGCATGATTCTCGTTCTATTTTCAAGCTTGGACTGCGATTCCCACCTTTGAGATTAATTGTTCAAAAATATGTGGACCCTTCCCATTAGATAAACCAGGTAAAAAGAAAGATACGGCAACACTCTGGATCATACTGTTCTGAGTCTATCTTTTTGTCGAGGGTCGAGGGTCGAGGTTTCCATGTCGAGGGCGAGGGTGCCATGTCGAGGGTCGAGGGTAACTTTTTTTTTTTCTCAAAATTTTTTTTTCTGGAAAAGGTAATAATCGATGCTATCAACGTCATTAAAACAAATAACAAAAATTTAAAAAGCGAATGACGCGTGAACATCTTCTAGTTGTTGGGGGGGGGGGGGGTGGAATAGAGAAAAGCTCCGGGACATCCATAAAGAAAATGTGATGTTGTTGTTGTTGTTGTTGTTGTTTAATTAAAATAGTACGTGGACATTCGAATTCGCTTAAAAGTAAAGAACCTTCTCCCTTCCTGGTCTTCCTGTGAAGGTAGACAGGTTGTGCCTAAAAAAATGTCATAGAGCTTAGACAGGGGCACCGAACGACTGTTTCCTGTAAAATATCTGTTCGGAGAAGCAAAAATTGCCTACAATTTTCTGATACTTGAGGAAGGCTAAAAATTTCTAGATGGCCGTTCCATTCATGTACAGCTTTCCTAGCTTATCTAATTAATTCCCTACGATTTTCTAAAGTTTAGTTTTTCACATTTCATCCCCCAACTTAGCCTATTTTTCGTTGGAAAAGGAAATCTAAAATTTTCGGATTAGAAAGTGTGATGGAGAGAGGAATCAGAAAAATTCTCACTTTCGTAAAACCTAAAGTTGCATCTAAAATTTTCGGGAAAATAATACTTAGGCCCTAAGTGATTTCGAAAAGATTCAAATTGCCCTAAGACGACCGAACAGATACAACTTTATTAGCGCCGCTTAGAATGCATTTCTAGAGATTTGAAAGTACCCTGGATAAGCGAAAAAGTGTCTTCAATGCATTTTATAGGAGGTAACCGTGGTTGGGTGCCCCGCTTCGCGGCTTATATTTCAGTCACGTCTGCCTCTTCTCTGCCTTGCTTGGCTCTTCAGTGGGGTAGTTTGAATATGGATATTTCACCGATTCTTGTTTTTTAAGCTATCCCACTGTATCCGACCGAATTGTCGTGCTTTCAATGAAGTAGAAACTCGCTATGAAATTTTAAAATACAAGTCATCGATGATCACCGACACCGGAAATCGTGACCTAGGTACGTAGGTGCGTAGCTAGAGTGATAATTTATGGTTGATGCTATCGCCTGAGTCGCGCCGCAATAATAAACTCTTTTAATTACCAACATTATGTTCTACAGCTTAAAAAGTGTATCACTGCAGAAATTTGAAACACCCTGAACACAAAAGGAACGCAAAACCAACACTTATCGCCGCAGTTGATGGCGGCACTGGGACAATAGGAAGTCATGTGGCGAAACTAATTTTGTACACATCTTTATCCCTAGTGTGAATTTCAAACAGAAATAGAGGTGTCTGCGCAAAAACTTTTTTCACAACGGCTTCAGAGAATATTTCCTATTTTGCACGAAAAGGGGAGCTTTTATTCACAAACAGCGATCAGATCAAAGTAGACCGATTATGCGAACTTTCAAAAAAAGAAAAAAAGAGTGTATTCTATATGAATATTTAAAGAAAAAAAAAATTCCGCAAAAGACAGACTTGGAATACACTGTCCAGTTTCTTGCATGATGTTAAAAGTAGTAAATTTTCATCAGAAACCACGGAAAAATAGATCACAGAGAAAGCTTGAATTGAAGTACCAGGGAAAATATCCTCAAAACAGAACCAAAAATCACTCCAAAAACCCAATGCCATTTTTTCTTGCCCGACCGACCGAAAAATTGTACAGGAATGGCCTTGTGTGACATTGGAACATTTCAAACAGTTAAACAGAATTTGCAACACAGTCGATTTTTTTTCGGGAATAAGAAACTTGTATTCACGGTTCAAGATAAACGGCATTATCGCAGTACTCCGTTTTTCCTATTCATGTCCAACTTGGCAAAACAACAGATCTTTAGTAGAAACGTGTCAAATGTTAAACAATTAATTGGATCAATGGGAGACACGGCACCACGTCCACGTTCACAAATAAGTATGACCGATTGTGGCCTAGAAAGATATATTGTATTTATGACACATTTTACAACGCAATAAGAGTTTTTTCCTTCCATTCTTGTTGGTTGGACTAGAAATCCATAATTCAACGCACTCATTCTTGTTTTACGACATTTTAAATTTTGTTTACAACATTTTTTTTTAAAATCAGTGTTTTCTAGTAACGTGTTCTGTTCATGGTATGGGTTTCCGGGTGTTATAAATGTAATTCTTCGAAAAAACAAATTGGGATGTCTCGGAGCTTTTCTCTATTCCACCCCTCCCCCCCCCCCCACCCAACATCTAGAAGATGTTCACGCGCCATTTGTTTTTAAATTCTTCTTATTTGTTTTAATAACATTGATTGCATCGATTATTACCTTTTCCAAAAAAAAAAAAAATTGGAAAAAAAAAATGTTACCCTCGACCCTCGACATGGTACCCTCGCCCTCGTCATGGAACCCTCGACCCTCGACCCTCGACAAAAAGATAGACTCTACTGTTCTACACTGATCCAAAATTTTACCAAGAGATTGGGTATCAGGGGCTATAAACCTTTGGGGGTGTCTCAGGACCTATAAGTTCTACATAAAGGACCCAAGTGGACCGCAAAGACAAAAAAAAGAAAATACCTTCAGCTTCAGGGATGAATATAGATACATTTCTGTTGTGCTATTTTCCCAAGCCTCGGGACCAACTATGAGTTTTTTATCTCATCGAAAATGGTCTAACAGTAAGCAAGTAAAATGTTTTGATGAGCATGTCAAGTAGTTATGAGAGCTAGCCAATACAACACATTGCAGCAGATTTCTGTAAAAATTGATATAATTAATTTTGGATGCAGTATTATAAACCAACAGCTGTTGTAGAATTGCTGAACTTATTTCACGCCGATAACCAGGTGACGCACTAGGAGTCTAGTTGAGAATACAAACTCGATCGATATACCAGCTTACCGAGCCGCGTAATTAGGCCCGTTTCAAACGTCGTGCTACTGCCGTGCCGAACTCCATTGATCGAATTGAATTCGACTTTAGCACGGCAGTAGCGCGACGTTTAAAACCAAGTCGTGCTACTGCCGTGTAGCACAGAAACCTTGCCGTGCTACACGGCAGTAGCTCGACTTGGTTTCAAACGTCGTGTTACCACCGTGCCGAACTCAATTCAGGAATTATAAATACATTAGAATATATTTAAAAGTTTGCTAAACCGTTTCTTTCTTTTTTGTGTTTTGCTTTTGGCAACAGCCGTTCCATTCCACTGTCATTGCGTGAATTAAATTCGACGTCTGAAACCAAGTCGTGCTAATGTCGTGCTGCAGTCGAGCTACAGTCGAGCCAGCTTAGCACTGCAATAGCACGACGTTTAAAACAGGCCTTATTCCTTTGAGCTAAATTTATGCAGACCCTTCCCATTGTTCAAAGCGGGTGACAATTTTCAAAAAAAGAAGGAGCAGGTGATAATTTGAACAGGGGTCCGTTTATATTTTATAAATTATCTGCTGTTCCACACTTAAGTGTATGACCACAAAAATATGTTGCTGGTTCTAAAGCAAGGAAAGGTGCTTAGCTCCTTCACCATGACCGAGCGCGTAATTCTTCGCAGATCAAGCACTGGTAATGCTTTACATATCTTTAAGACTGACTTATCAAGAAAGCTTCGAGCAATAATTAAATGCACAAAATCACTTTTTTTAAAACCGGTACTAAATTTCAAGAATCACTCTTCCATTTATTTGATGCTGGAAATGTGGAAATGAATAATGAATAAAAATATCAATATATTCCCTAGGCTAATTCTTTTAATACTGCAAGTACTTCAAGAATCAGTTTAAATTATTGTTGGAAAACGTCAAAGGAAGCTGTGGTCAGTACTTATTTGTATTTGCGCAACTTAATGTGCCGAGCTTAGGAAAAACAAGTTATTAAAAATTCATGCAATTCTTGTCTAACATTTTTAAAACGGGTTTCAAACTTTTCGGTCTTTGCCCATTTTCAAAAGGAGACTAAGTATCTAAGAACAGGGACTGGCCCACAATATTTATGTTGATGAAAATGGCGCGGTAAATGCTCGGTCAATTTTGAGGCGTGTAACTAATTCCTGAATGTCTTCTGCCATTTCCTTTATCAATTAAAACGAGTTTTTTTATTATTATTATTTAAAAAATAAATCGTCATTACCACTTAATCAGATAAAACTGCTTGACTTGTAAAACTCAATGTATCGTGATATAGACGTTTTTGCTCATTTGAGCCAAAGTAGTTTTTGTTAAATAATTTATAGATAATTGACAACCACCGGGTAGACTTGGTTACTATTTCAATTTGCATTCACTTTCTTTCTAACAGCACGGTGTTTCCCTGCCCTGCTGCTTCCCTTACCATACTGAATACTCTGGACAGTTTAAGGAACAACAGATTTGATTCATGTCTATGTTCAGTATGTTCGGGTTCTTCAGATTGGCACTTGGAATCCTCATAACTGGCCTTTGCTGCAGAGTTGTATTAGCAGGTAACCAATCTAAAAATGTTGGTCCCTACGTGACTCATTTCGCTTAAAACGTCCATGCAAAGTTTGCACTTTCTACACCCAATGATTTTCGCCACTGACTTCTAGTATTCATTCCAAGAGAACTTTGCCCTTTTATTTCTATAATCCTAATCGGTTAAACGGTTTTATGCAAAAATGTTATGTGGTTCTTCATTTATTACTTTCATATTTTTCTCTTAATTATGGAGGAATATTGTCATGAATAGCTTGGCCAGTGGTCGTTTCTTCAAAACTGTCTTCACTACAGAGCACACCGCTCAAATGAAAAGCCTGCACGCATCCCTGAGACTCCATAACGCTTGTTATGTTTCAAAAAGACCTGAGACAGACCTGAGCAAAAGCGAAAAAAAACCCACTCTGATAGCAGCCTTCTTAGCTAAAGCTACAAGTCTCTTTGTACATGCACCTTTAAAAGGCGGGTGCATAATCCTACGCTGCAGTTGAAGGTCGGTTTCGATACAGTTTTCCGAAGACCATGCCAAGATTTTTCATCGCCTTAAAAGTGATTTTATTCTCACTTGTCGGATCGCTATGAAATTATCACCACTGACTGATTTTGGATTGAAGTTTCTTAAAATTTAGTTTGATAAATAAAATCGATATCACTATGACAAAAAGAAAGAAAAAAAATTAAAACGTTGAAATCGGTAAAAGCCACTTGTTTTGCGCGATCTAGACAAGTCCCGCTTCTGAAAATCCCACATCAGGAACTTAAAGTGTGCTGTTTAGCAAACAACCTCCGTGAGAAGTAAAAAAATCTGTATATTTAAATTAAAATAAAACGTAAATATAATTCAAAACTTATATTTTCAATAGCCGTTATAAATTATATAGTAAAAAAGTTCTGAATTACTAAAATTAATCTTAAATGGCGTCAGAATTTACTATCATATTTCGATGCTAGGAAATTTTGGTGTATTTAATTTCCAGATTTTCATCCTTGCGAATTTGAAATTAAATGTATTTAATTTAAGCGTAGTAGCAGTGACAGAGAATGTAAATACTTTCCTATCGGTATGAACGCACGTGAGCTGCTATGGTGTTACTTGACTCTATTGTTATTAGGTATATAAGGTTTTGACAGTTGTAATGTATTCATCTCAGCTCTCGAACTATCAACTATTATTTTTATATCTTACTTTATTCATCTATCTTTGTGCGACCGCATCGGTTGAGGAATACGTTCCCAATTTTTTCCCATTGGGCCAGTTTAAGTTTTCGTATCAGGCGGCGCACGTGAATAGTTTAGCCTGAGTGACTTTATTTAGGAATGTTTGTACATCATTCTTTAGTTATGATGTGAACTTTGTATGTTATTTGGACGGGCATTAAACACTCAGGCTCCACAGTTCGAGCTGCACACCCATTCCCGTCTCTTTGAGGTGAATATAAATAGGAAATAACATTTTTGTCACCACCTGTCTAAGTGCAACTTTATTCAGTTTCAAATTTTGACCTTTATTGTTTTTCTATATATTGAACGGCTCGACAGAATCCTTTTTAAACCTCACCACAAAATTCTCACGATGTATATAATAACGTACGAAACTTTCATGAAGATTGATTCACTGCAACACCTTTAAATTTCAAGACGAGCCCAACGTACAAACCGGCCAAAAATCCGCGTTACAACATTTACTGTTTTGACGTTATGCTTATGTTTCCAAATTAATGCCCACCATACATACCTCCATGATTAGTACATTTCAGTGAGGGGACTTTAGAGAGTTAAAAGCCAAAAATGTTTCCGGAGAAGCATGCCCCCTCGGCGCTCGTTTAGGAAATCGGTCAGTCCGACCTAGTTCCGCGCCTGCATCCAATGATCTTTTTTTATTAAACACACTTTGTGATGCTGTTTTTGTTTTGTCAGCTTTAGTAACTGGCTTAAAGAATTCTGTCATTGTGGGAAATAATTCTGAATACTTGTCTAAGTTGACCAACTGGATAAAACCCAGAAGAAGTGAAAACGATTGGGAACTCTGCTGGAGAAAATCACGTCATGGCTGGGATAACAATAAATTCCATTCCCTATGTGACGAAAAAGGACCAACAATTACTATTGTAAAGGTTGGACACTATATCTTTGGAGGCTACGCCAGTTTATCATGGAGAATGTCAGCTGGTAAGTATTCTAGTCTTAGTTTGTGTGTTTAAGAGTTTATGGATTGTCATATATACTGAACATTTTCAACTGTATATGACTAGTTATTTGACTTTTCATTTTTCGTTTTCCTAAACTTATCATTTCTTCAAACTGACACATGCATTTTTATACGTTTTGGCCTTGTTCCAAGTTGAACGATCAAAAATAGAAGTTTAATAGGATCCTTGGGTAACGAATTCACTTATGACCAGGTTTGCACGCAGTTGCAAAAATTGCGATTTTTCGAAAACAACGTGATGATTAAAAACAACACTTCCAAGGATAGGCCAGCTGGGGACGAAAATTTACCAACAGAAATGCGTTCTCGATGACTGGGTGTGGACGCTTAAAATGAATGTGTGGACCGCGAGCTTTTGATGAGTTTATATTAACACGAAAACGCCGAAGGTTTTGGGAAACGCATTAGTGAACATGCTGGCCTTACAGAGACGTTTCTGAATTCTTTCTATACTATATTTAGGTTCTGGTTGCCTCTCTCAGTACGATTCACAAGCCTTTTTGTTCTCGCTGGTAAACAAGCCAGGATGGGCACCTGTAAAGTTTGATCAGACTGGAGGGTACAGCTCTAACCCATCGCATTCCACGTACAGCTGTTACAATGGTCCTGTTTTTGGAGGACCACCTCATGACTTGAAACTGGCCAAGGATAGCTCTCATGACAGTTTTACCTCAGATCTTGGCTACACGTACAGTCCGCCGAGCACTCACGGACATGCAAGCCTCTTTGCCCGAGAATTCCTGGCAGGATCGTATCGATTCAATCCCGCTGAAATAGAAACGTTTTACTACAAAGCCTTTACATCACATGGTAGGATCAAGAATTAGCTATAGTTTTCCAGGAATTTTAAAAAACAATAAGTAATCTAGCCATTTTTCATTTTTTTGAAAAGTTGCAGGGATTAATAACACACTAAAAGACGCCCTCGACAACAAATTTTCAACGTATATCTTCTTCTGAGCTTTTGCTTTCATTCTAAAAACGCCTAAAAATGGGGTTACCGTTCTTGCTTGGGACGCGTAAAACCAAGGTCGTTAATACACCTTGGTAACTGTTTCTGGAATCTGCCATGTGAGGAATTTAAACCTCGATACAACGAAGGGCCAAGGGACTGGCAAAATTTGTTCGTCGTAACGAGGTGTAGTTATATACACCAAGGTTCTTTTTGATATATTTTACTATTACTGGGTTAAAGAAATTCGTTCGTTATGCCGAGAAGTCTTCGCTATATAGAAGTTCGCCAGTTATATCGAGGTTCCACTGTACCCACTTTTACTAAGAGAGGATAAAGGGGACAGAGAAGGCATCCCTTATACACACCCTATTCCGTAGGTAATTCGTCTCGAGTTATTTTTAGAATCGGGATGAAGTTACCTCGCGCACTGCGTGGATGTTTCGTGGAGGTTTCGCATGACTAAACGCCGTGCAAAACATGTCGGGCGAAAGGCAATGAAAGCGTAAAGAGATCGAGAGCACTATTGAATATTGAAGCGAAATGAGTCGACGCTCACCTGGGAAAAGTGAATTGCTGGACTCTTTGACAACCCGTGAAATCAGTTTAACTCGAAGTTGTCGTAACCTCAGTGCTTTAATAAAATGAGAAACTTCGCCGGTCTATTGAAGCCGGTCGTTTGTATAATAAAGCAAGTAGGGCGCCAAGTGTTATTTTTGTTGAATAATAAAAGACTAATAAAAGAATAAAAAATATCAAACCAGAAATTGCTCTCTTCAAACAGTAAATTGTAAATGATCCTGAGAGAATATTCAGTGTGTTAAGGATTTCTCTACTGTACTGTTAGCTCTATACAAGAGAGGAAGGGCGATTCTTTTTTAACTTCCGTTTCGCTGACACAGCTTAAGCAGAAATCTCTCTTTGAGTTTGAGGAGTTAGACACTTGTCCTTCTGTGGAAGTTCGTTCACCTTGAGCTACTATTAGCGTTGTTGCAAATGAAGTAGAATTAATAGTTCAGGGAAACGCTATTTTTAGTTGATAATGAGCGATCTGAGGTAACCAGTTGTTCAATGATGTTAAGTATAAAGCACAAATTTGAGCGGGGTTTCCCTCAGACTTACAGGTTAAGGGGGGGGAGGGAGGGTTGGAGGAGTGCGGAGGCTGGATTCAACCCAAGGTTATTCTCAGATATTTCGACACGATTTTGAGGCAAAACCTCGTTGTTCTCAGTAGCTGTTCATTTTAATGTTTAATAGACGTATTTTATGATAATCTAAAGTTCATATATTTGACCTGCAGGAGAGATATTTAACAAGATAACCGTCTCGTTTCCTAACTTCAAAATTTGCTAAATGAATTGCTATTTTTGAACAATTAAACTTTAGGGGTTCACAATGAAAGTCTACTCTGTGTCAATTCAAGCGCCATAAAATCGCGTTATTGTAATGACTTAAAATTTATTTGGTCGGTTAATTTGTGGATAATCCTGTTAGTCAACAATGCTCAGGAGCACCCAACGACGGTTTCCTCCTAAATGCTTTGAAAACACTTTTTAGGCTATCCAGAGTACGTACTTTTAGATCTCTAGAAATGTATTCTAAGTAGCGCTAAAAAATTTATATCTGTTCGGTCATCCTAGGGTAACTTGAGTCTTTTCGAAGTTACGAGGGCTTCAGTATTATTTTCCAGAAAATTTTAGCAGCAATTGAAAGTTTTCCGAAAGTGATAGTTTTTCTTATTCCTTTCTGCATTGCATTTTCAATTCCGAAAATTTTAGGTTTCCTTTCTGTACGAAAAATAACCTAACCTGGGGAGTGAAATGGGAAAAATGAAACTTCAGAAAATCGTAGGGAATTTCTTAGATAAGCTTCGAAAATTGTGTACATGAATGGAACGGTCGTCAAGAAATTTTTAGCCTTTCTCAAGCTATAGAAAATTCTAGGCAATTTTTGCTTCTCCGAACAGATATTTCACAGAAAACAGTCGTTGGGTGCCCCCTGAAT